ATGAGTTTCACAAAGAAAAAGTGCAAGATGTTTTCATCTAACTAGTTCAACTAAACCTAGTAGGCAATCTAGTAGCACACTTAAATTCATGAAGCATGGGCACAAAGGAAGAAAGCTCATCAGAGCAACAGCCATGAAAATATTTGTAAAAAAGACAGAGGGAAGCCACATTATATTTTTTTATAACCAATCAGTATTATCTATTCATTGCTGCAGATTAAGGGCCTGAGTAAAGTTATCATAAAAAGCAACTAAAAATTAGGATGAAAGTAAATACAAATCAAAAATTTATAATAATGGCTGACAACGTTTCATTTAATAACATTTTGTTTGGTTGTTTTTGTTTATTAGCATATCAACATCTCTATGGGTTATTTAGTGCTGAAATCTATATATTTTGTATGTAATTTTATGGCTTCAACTAAATATATTTTTAATGCAATTGTATGCTTTCAAATAAATATATTTTGTATGTAATTTTATGGCTTCAACTAAATATATTTTTAACACAATTGTATGTTTTCAACTAAATTCCTCTTCAAACAGTTTCTTTTTTTCTCACACTTCTCACTTGGGGAACTCCCTTCCGGCTCCATGCTTTCCAGCCAACTTTGATCTGCAAAAATTTAAACGCAATATCAATCACTATCTACTGTCCTCCTGATTACTTTTTTCTCTTCCTGCTCATTATTAATGTTTCTTTTCCTAATTCTCCCACACTCTGTAACCTCTCATGTCTTAGTGGCTTTATTGCCTTGTTTGGGGTGATAACTATGACCTTCTTTATTTTTTCCTTTTATTACTTGCATAGTATGTCTCTTTTATTAGTTTTCAATGATTTGAAAAAAATGACTTCCTATTTTAGTCATAACTGCTAAGTCAGTGTAAACTAGCTACTATTTCTCCCTCTGTTTTTTATATACACAAAGACTTATCTTAAGCCCCCTCCTTTTATTAATGCTGTTTCATACCCCTCCTCTTTAATCTCTGTAAATGTCAACATCAGGCGAGTCTGTTGTCGATAGTCTGTTTACTATTCTTTTAGGTATTTGTTGAATCACATTCAAAGTTGTATACACTTTGCTTGTTCTTTATCTTATCATTCTGTTTGATCTACATTTGACCCCAAATTCACAATTTTACTCAGTATTAGTATGGTATCAGGGATTGAATCTCCCTGTGACCAATTTTTCAAGGAGATTACTTCATGATAATATATCAGTCTGGGGTGATGTTCTTAGCATTGAGAAGTGCCTAAAAAACCTAACCACCAGTCTAATTAGTGAAACTGGAACAGACGAAGCTCAAAGTCACAAGTCATCGTGACTGAGGGTTTGAGTGTACTGGCTTTGTTCAACTACCAATCAAATCAGATGCACTAGTAGATTCCATCAGTCTCTTACAACTGTAACATTACTACTACTACTACTACATGCATTAGTCCATCGTACTATTTGTTGTGGTTCATTTTATTTAGTGACATGTCAACCTCTGTGGTTTATTTAATGCTGGAATCTAAATATTTTGTACACAATTTTATGGCTGCAGGGTAAATGTATCTTTTTTAGATATTAATATTCTTGACAACTTTAAAACACAATAAAGGATAAAAAAAATGTTGCTATTTTCAGAAATATTTTAGAAGGATTTACATTACTACTACTATGTGGGTGCATAGCTCAGTGTCTAGAATGTTAGCATTCTGATCATGGTATCAGGGTTCAAATCACCCGATAAGCAATTTTTCAAGATAATATATCAGCCTGGGGTGATGTTCCTAGCATTGAGAAGTGCCTAAAAACACTAACCACTAGTCTAATTAGTGAAACTGGAACAGACAAAGCTCAACGTCACAAGTCATCGTGACTGAGGGTTTGAGTGTACTGGTTTTGCTCAACTATCAATCACATCAGATTATGCATTCTCTCCCAAAAACTATAACTAAGGTTCATTCAACATTTGTTGTAGCTGAATTTATTTAGTGGCATATCAACCTCCATGGGTTATGCCATCAACTACAAATATTTTGTACATAATTTTATACTTTCAGGGCAAATGTATGTTTTTTAGACATATATTTTGCAGATGAATAAAATGTATGGTTTATAATTTTACTATAAAAATGTATTTTTATACTTTAGTGTTGTATTGATTTTCATTTTGTTTTAAAAATGTATTACTGGTAATTTTTTTTTTATAATTGTATTGCTGGTATTTTTACTAAAAGTATATTTTTTATAGTTATCTAGTGTTTTGTTTTTTGTTTGGTGGTTCACTATTTGCCTATAGCTAGGACCCTAACAGTTGCTGCCACCTTGGGTTAATGGGGACCTTGTAGCAAGAGCAATTAAGAGAGGAATCCATGCTCTTCGAAACCTCCAATCTCCCAATCAGAGCCCTTGTTGCCGGATGTAGTTTATCATCTTACCAAGGACTCATTTAATAAGAAACTGAGATTAAAGTAAATGATAGTCAAAATGAAATCTCATAAAAATGATGAAAGAAATTATTGATCCAAATGAATAAAAAAGAATGGTTTGCTTACAGAATCCCTTCAGAAACCTTTTCTGCATAATTGGCTGCCTTTTCCCAGAATTCCAGTTGGATGCAAGCATCTTTGGCAAATTCCATTATTTTTATTAAATTTGAGTTGAATTTATAGAAGTTATTTTCAAGCAAGCTCTCTAGTTTCTCCTCAGCAAAATCCAGTGTAAATTTCATATCTGCAATGAACAAAGACATAACAGCAGGAGTGGAAAATTAAACAATGATGCAGTTTCTGTCTATATCTTTGAGATAAGGTATTATGATTACTTGTATTATTTACATTATTCGGACTGTTATCCTCATCTTCATTGCCATATTCACAATATTTTGGCCATTGCACATTCTGGCCTTCTTCAGGTGATTGGAATTTCAAACTGAAACCTTTATTTCATCCACCAAGGTAGATTGTTCTAGTTCCACATGCCATGCCAGTGGATAAAGACATTCATTAGATCCAGTGAGTAGGCCCAAAGAGTTGTGAGTCCAATACCAGGCTACAACAGTGGAGAACCAAAAAAACTTAGTTGAGTTAACAGGAAAGAGTTGAGACATCCAGAAGAAGTATGGCATGTGGAACTAGAACAATCTACCCCGATAGACAAAATAAAGGGTTTGGTTCAAAATTCCGATCACCTGAAGAAGGCCAGAGTGTATAACAGCCGAAACATGAATATGGCAATGAAGATGGGGATAACAGTCTGAATAATATAAATAATGCAAGCAATGACACAGTTCTTTAATGGGAATTATTGAACTTTCACAGCCTCACCACATTATGTGTTGTGATGTTTTGATAGGTTCCCAAAAATAGGAGCTGTGAGTTCAAATCTTGTTGCATGTCTATTCTTTGATGGGACTTATTCAGCTAGATCAGATTTTCCCAAACTTGGCGATTTCAACTGTTGGGTGGCTGAACAGAAAATGGTGGATGAGTGGAAATTTTGGTGGCCAATATAGTATTTTGAGTTTTAAAAAGGTATTTCAACATATGCTACCCTGCAAAAAATATTCAAAGAGATAAGCAAAGAATGTGTATTAAATAAAACAAAAAAAGAAACAGGAGGTTAAATAGGAGTAACTGGGTCATATTCCCAGATAAGATTAAATATCCTCGCAAACAACGAATATTTTGGTATTTTCTATTAACATTCAAATAGTTCTTCAGATAAAATAACATTTTTTTGGATATAAAGCAGATAAAGGAAGACCAAGAACAACAAAAAAGATATTTACTAAATTTTTATTAGTTGTTAGTAGTCTATATTCTTTTTGATTTTATAATTATGGACAAAAATCATTTAATTTTTTGCCAACATTAACCATAAAACTAATTTTTATATATAGTTTTCAATGGTTAAGTTTGCTTTTGTTTGTTCTTTAATACAGCAGCAGCAGCAGCAGCAGCAGCCACATAAATTAGTGTTATTTGCTACTTCCCTTTGGTAGTTTTTACTGCTTCATAAAGTCAGTTTATGAACCAGTAACAAACATTTACCAAACAATTTTGGTATGCTTTTGAATATTTATTATACAGGTGGGTGGTAGAAAATTTTTCTGTATGAAAGTTGCTAATGATATAAAAAACGTTGGGATGCACTGAATAAGATGGTCAATATATGTGCAGGTTGTATAATGGTTAGAGTTAGAAATTGGTGAGGTGTGTTTAAATTCTAGTCAAGTTTGTTACATTAACTTTACACGATACCCTTGGGAAAGTTATGAATCCATCTCTATTCCCCCAGCTATGGATTAAATAGCAGAGCAGACTGGGCTAAGTAACCTGAGTAGGTGAAAGACAACTTTGAATAAAAAAACCCAAGAAGAATTGTTTAGAGATTTATGGTACACTCTATGCACCAGTTCTCTGTTCAGTTCTTCTAAAAAGTGTGCTTTAATACAAGCCTTCACCACAATAATAAAACAAAATGGAGGTTTAAAGCCATATTATGTTGAAACAATGGTTCCTGTACAATGACCAAAGTAAAGCAACATTGAGCCTTGTCAGTACCTAGATGGGAGACTGCTTAAGAATACCAGATGCTGTAAGCTTGGAAGTGCAAGTGGTGTAATGGATAATGGCTCAGAATTGTTGATATGAATCCACCTTTTCTCTCCCAGCTATGGGTTAATTAATAAGACTTGTATCACTAAACCATTATTATCTGAAAAAAAAAAATTTGTACAATCTAAAGATATTTTCTGGCTTTAAATAACATGCATAAGGTTGATAAGCCATAAAAAACAAATCAATCAATCAATAAAACAAAATATGAGGAGCAGTCTGGCAGTCCTGAGAGATTGACTGTTGGACCCTTATATGTTGAAGATGACAAGAGAGTCATCATTATATATATATTATTTCTTCTTTTTTTATCCCCATCCAATAATTTGTTAACTTGAATCCAGATCTATACCTCAATATTAAATTCTAATTATATAATTATTAAATGTAGACTTAATATACTATATAATGTAGCTTCCACGAGACCCAGAATTTTGAAAATACTAACAATCCTAATGAACAGTTCATCACCATTATAAGTACCTGAAGATTGTATTGAAAATGAAGTCATACTTTCGATGTAAGGTTATATATTATGAAATGGACAAAGTCTAACAATTATTTTTATACATTCTTTTTATAGATCAGGCCGGTAAATGTTGTTTAATACTGTTTATTATAAACAGAGCATTTACTTAAATATTTTTATCTACAAAAAGAATGTATTAACATAAAAATGTCTTAAAATAATTGTTGGACTTTGTCCATTTCATAATGTGTGACATCATTTGTTTACATTTGGATATGCCATGAGCAGATATGAATGTACGTGAGAGAATCATGGAAGATTGTGGTTTAAAGACAGTAAAATCAACCTTGCTTACCGAACGCTCCTCTGTGGTCAAATCGATTAAAGGCACCTCAGGCTATATGACGGTTCCGTATAGGATACAGGTTTGATTCCTGTCGGAGGACGAATATTTTCTATGAAAATTTCTTGGACATTCAGGCTGGTAAATGTCGTTTAATACTGTTTATTATAAACAGAGTATTTACTTAAATATTTGTATCTATAAAAAGAATGTATAAACATAAAAATGTCTATATATATATATATATATATATATATATATATATAATTAATATAATTAAGTTTGTCACTTAGCTGATTGATGTTACCTTCGGCATCCTGATTTCATGATGATGTGTACCAAATGTTGATAGATATATTTTACAGAATAATGTCATCCATATAAAGGCCAATTTTGCTGTATCACAGCTCATCAGTGTATCAAGCCAGGATCAAAACGCAAACAATTTTGCATCAGTTGCAGTTTCTACCCCTGAGATATCAGCGCATGGCAGAATGAAAGGGAAATTCTAGCATATTATTTTTATGAATATATATATATATATATATATATATATACAGATAGTAATTATTAGGAGGATTTGATAATTATATTTAATTAATTCATCGAGTCTGATAGAAACTTCAACAGAATGCAGAAAGCACTGGACGGCTGTTTCGTCCTATATTTGGGACTGCATCAGCAGTGCGCATCCACTACCGAGAATTGAAACCCTGACAGTTAGGTTGTCAAGCAAACATCATACCAACTGTTCCAATGGGCCTCGGTGACGAAGAGATTGCAAATCAGACTCAATGTAGCGCTGCTCGCTCACATATTCCGTGGCGGAACTCTACTGAGTTCCCTGTAACCATAGGACTGTGCCCCCTGGAGCCACGACTACTCCCACCAAGCCGCTCACTCTAGAGCATTAGAAGCCGGTTCAAGCAATGATATACACAGATGCGCACTGCTGATGAGTCCCAAATATAGGACGAAATGGCCATCCAGTGCTTTCTGTATTCTGTTGAGGTTTCTATCAGACTCGATGAATTAATTAAATATATATATATATATATATATATATATGAATTATACCCCTATTTTACAACTTGTGTTACTATCGGAAACCATGATATCACTCACTATTAATATTTAAACCATAATGCACCAGTTTTTTCTCTTTTTTGTTTAATTAAAAAAACAAAATGCAAAAAATTGAATGTACTTAAGCCTCAAGAGGCCATCCTTCCAAGTAATATCATTATCTTGTGCCTGAAGTATCCCCAGAATGGAACAGCCAATGATGCTTAAGCAATTTTTGCCTTTAGTCCATAGACATGTGAACTTCCACTCCACTTTAAAGTTGACTTTGTGTCATATTCAACTTGGGTGGGTGTGCAGATAAATACTATTGAATAAACTGCACTCTGGTATGCAGTAAGTAAAATTTCAGCAAACCATGCAAATGATTGTCAGACACTTTCATCTCAGGTAAATTCTGTGATTTTTTCTCCAAATTAGATTTTTTGAAATTTGTTCACAATTTCAATATTTGTATTTTTAAAGTAATTTGTACATTATTGTTGAAGAGAATATTTGCCAAATATTTGATTGTATTTTTTATTATTTTTCTCTCTTGCTATTTGTTTGCATATTTTGTTTTTAGGACACTTTCTTGTTTATGAATTCTACATCCATTCCCTTTAAATAAATATTATTGTTGCATTTATTTTTTATTTCAATATTTCATCTTTTTGATGGAAGAAGGTTGTGAGGTAGTTTTTGACTGACTGTATAAAGTCCAATTTTTTGTCATTTAAATTGTTCTATAAAAACAAGAAAAAAATGAAAATCCAAAGGAAACAAAGTCAGGAGATTACAGTGGGTGCGAGAAGGTTTCCCCATTTCAACTTTTTAAGCTTCTACAAATTCTGTTTTGCAATATGTCGTCTTGCATTGTTATGGCGGAAAATGATACTGTTTTGATTTGCCAAATATTTTTATTTTTTGAATTATCACAAGGTCACCATCCCCGCTGCAATTTAGTGAATGAATGAATGAATTCAAATGAGACTCTGCCCAAGTCTCACCCTACCCTTTATTCTGTTCCCATGGAAGGGATAGGAAATTATATGAAGAGGTTAAAACACAAAATAAGTAAAATTTATCTACAAAGAAGGAGAGGAGGTGATAAGTGAATGAAGAGAGAAAGAAAAATAAAATTATATATCTGAGAAATAACTTGTAAATATTTGTATGAATATTTAAAAGAAATCAGAGATTGTCTATTAAGTCTAAATTAGTACCTACATCAGATTATTTTATGAAAATAAATTTTCAAAATATCCTACATAAATTTAATGCCTTTTATTTTTCCATTATTTTTAATCTTCTTTTTAATGAATGATGCAAATCTGTTGTTCTATCATTCTTGATACTTTTTTCTTTTATCTACTATAATTTAATATTGAAAATTCATCTTTTTCAGAAAGAAAAACAAATAGCACCATCAAGTATTTACATTTTCATTTTAACAAATTCAATAATTGATAAAAAAAATGTTCTAACTGACAGTAGAAGTCAGGATGAATGATGTTAGTGTTTAATGGTAATTTAGTATCTTGATTCAAAGTCTTCAACCAGGTGCTGTAAGCTTGGATGTGTGGGTGATGTAATGGATGATGGCTCAGCGATGGTAACCAGAGAGTTGAGTTCCCGTACAATCACTGAAGTTAAGCAACATTAAGCCTGGTCAGTACCTAGATGGGTAACTGCTTGGGAATACCAGATGCTGTAAGCTTGGATACGCGGGTGGTGTAATGGGTAATAACTTATTTTTAAATAGGTTTTGGCAAGGTCTTCTTCACAATTTTAGATGAATTTTTGAACTGATTCAGTCTTTCTTAAAAAATCGTAAAAATGAAACAGCCACTCTTTTAGATTTTTCTCCATTAATGCTGGTGCCCCCCCAGGCCTCTATCCTTGGACCAATGTTGTTCTTAATTTTCATCAACAACCTTCCTGATAGCATCAGTTCTCAATTCAGTATCTATGCTGATGACACAACTATTTCCTATCCAAAAAGTAAGTCTGATCAGTTTGATAAGGTCAAATTGGCAGATGACCTCAACAATGACCTACATATTTTCTCTTAATTGGGGCAAGGAATAGCTTGTTAATTTTAACATAGAAGTTATAGAAATTGCTTCATTTAGACTTGTACTCTTTTCCTGTTATTCAGAGGTTGTTGCCAGACAGAAAAAGGAACATTAAACCTCATAATACAGATATCCATTTCAATTTCATTCAAAATGTCTGTGCATATAGGTTTACATGTCTGAGCATATAAAACCTAAAAGAATTCTGTAAAATTAAAAAGAAAATTTTAAAAAATAATTTTGTTTTTTACCAAATGATTTCCAAAAAGTTCAATTATTTAATTATCTGATTTTTTAGGGTTTAAAAAATTTTGTTTAAAAAGTATAATTTAGCATCACAGACCAATCTCTTACTATTAAAAAATGCAATAAAGTTTGATAAATCTTTGATGTTTTTATGGCTATCATTATTATAAAAGACTTTACTTCACTTTGACAAGTTCTAGCCAGACCTTTGATAGTCATGGCAGACTGACGGGAAGTCAAACATATTTTCCTTCATGTAGGCTTTGTATCAAATATTTTCTGGAAGCAATCCTTGATTTCTGAAATAATGGAGAAGATAAAGAGAAAGTCATGAAACAAACCTCCCTGCTTGAATAATTCATCCAGTCGTATTTTATGGCTGCAACTTGCATCCCATATTCTATGAAGCTGCTCAATCATCTTGGTTGTTTGTGGTGCATGTTTACATTTTCCACAGGGCCAAACAGAATTATCTTTCCCTGTAAGAAAAAAAAAAAGAAATTTATTTGAATAATTATATGAACAGGTGTCCTGACATTGTGAAAGAGCAATCAGTTAGAACCATAGGTCATTGATGAAAATTAAGAACAATGTGGGTCCAAGGATAGAACCCTGGGAAGAGCAGCATTAATGCAAAAAGATCTAGAAGAGTGGCCATTCAAGATGATGTTAATTTTGCGATTTGATAAGAATGATTGAATCAGATCAAAAATGAGTCCCGAAATACTGTAACAACTTGTGAAGAAGACCAGCATACTAAACCTTGTCAAACGCGTTTGAGATATCCAAAGCTACAGCTTATCCAAAGCTTGTTAGACACTTTTAGAAAAGAACTGTTAACACATCAGCAGTTGAACTAAAGAATAAAAAATCATACTGCTTGTCTGAAAGAAGACTTTGTAAGGTGAGATGCTTAATTAATTCAGAGTTGATTAGAATAGACAGGTAGAAAGATCAGATAGTTCACTTGGGTTCTTAAAGACTGGAACTACAGAAGATTTCTTGCAGGAAAGCAAGAAGCAGCAAGGCATTTATTGTAGAGAGAACAGGAATCAGTTCAGGAGCACATTTCTTAAGGACTATTACAGGGATACCATCAAGTTTAAATGCTTTGTGGGGGTTTAAAGTTTAAAGATGATAGCAGAAACAATGGATATAGTCATAGTAGAGACTTAGTTTACCAAGACATGGAGTTAAATGGAGTGAAAGTGAATGAGAAGACTTTAGTGAGGTGAAAGGAAAATAAAGGAGCAGGATTCAGGATGACTGAAGAGGACAATTAGTGTTGTATGAAACTTTTAGTTACTGACAATAGTCACATTTTGTTTTCATACATTTTATATATATGTATATATAAATATATATATATATATATATGTGTGTGTGTGTGTGTGTGTGTGTGTGTATCCAAATGAGAGAAAGAACAGATGGAGTAAAATTCCACTGTTTGTAGCATATACTTTTTTTAGCGTAGATCTGACATTTAATTCGTTAATGTAGGAAAAAATAAATGAGACAGACTGAATCTTCTTCATCTTCTTCACTCGGCTAAAGGAAATAGATTCCAGGGTTCTGTTTCTTTGCCACCACACACTGGGCACTTTTCAGTTGACAAAGTCAGTTGCGTCTCTTTCACCTTCTTTTTCTCCTGTCAATCCATTCGTCAGACTAGCAAATGTAATTTGCCCCAGAAAGAAAAAAACCCTTGCTTTTTATGTCTTCTCAAGCAGGCCAGAATTTGCATATGTGCAAATCCTGTCTTGTAGAGACAAGACAAGCATTCATAAATTGTGCCCCAAAGAGCGGCCATATTTTCTTTTCAGCACTTTGCAGACAAGACACATCCGTGCTCGTTTTGATCTCCGGGGTAAGTCATTTCTTTCGTCACAACACCTATTACTACTACAGTTAATCAAGACATATCCACAAAGCCTATTTTTAATTCTGACCTTATGTTCCCCCAACCCTTAACTTTTGGAAAAGAGGTAACACTTTATTTTTAAATTTCCTTAAAAATCATTTTAATCACCAGTTACTTACCATCACCTGAAGAAGTACAATCATAGCATTGAAACATGAAAGCTTTTGTGTAGCAATTTCAAAATGTTTTTATTATAATCTCTTATAATATATATATGTATATATATATATATATATATATAGCAAATATTAGTTTATGTTGATTTTACAAGTTAATGTCTTACTTATTGGAAGTTGTTTTTCTTTCACCTGGATGTTATTTGTTAAATGATGAATGAAGACAAAAAATCTTTTCTCTGGAACACCCAAATGCAAATGCAAAACTTTTGGAAGCAACAAACCAAAGTAAAGATACTTGCCATCACGTTTTAATCCAATGAAGCCATTGCATTCTGAATTAGGACACTTTATGCTTGTCATGAGGCAGTCCTGTTAGTAAAAGGAGATAACTCAATATAAATGTCACTTGCAAACAGTAAATGAACACAGTTGACCCATCATAAATTATTTTTTTTAATAAACGAAAAAAAAAAGATTTTATTGATGCAATATTCTTGATGATTAATCTCAACATTTTCTTATGAGAAAAGAAATTCTTATTTGGAAAGAGCCGCTAACACTAATGTAACTAAATATTAACCTGAAAACTCGGACCATGTTTTTAAATAAACTTGTCAGATACCGACTATCATATGGGTGTCATACAATGAATTCAACTTGTTTAGAAATGTCAAAACTATCATCAATATTTTCAGGTTAACACTTCTTAATTTTTGAAACTGCTCTTAGGGCACGCTCTCCAAACTATAAATACTCTGCAATAACTTTTCTCATTCTTTTCTTACCTTATCCACTTATTCGTCATGTAACATGTAATTTCAGGAGACTGTGTGTTATTTATCAACTCAATATAACTAACGCCTGTACTAAGTTGGGAAACACATACTACCAGCCCACAACAATATACAACCATTTTCTCAGACCAATGATTAAAAAGTGAATGAATGATATAGGTTTTAAAAATATGACAATACTTCTTCAAATCCTACAGACTGTCATTAAAAGTGAATATTACCAAATAACAAAAATCACATCACTTGAAGATTTCTAACAACAACAAAAATGAAGATGGATAGCCCATGTAAGTAGAAGATAAAATAATGATATAATCAAGATGTTAACTTTCCAAACTATCTTAAACAAAAGGCTTGGAAGGAAACTCCTATAAATATTAGAAATAACTATAACTAATGGACTTGAGAAATTTAATTTCTTGAAAAAACGTTTTCACAGAAAGATTTTATAAATTTCAACCAACAGTAACACTTGTGTCCATAAAGAAATAAAAAATTAATTATACTATTTCAGTGTCGTGTCCATAAAAAATTAAATAAAAATTAATTATAAAGTCAAAAATAATTATGACAATTATAATTATCATTAATTCCCTCTATTTAAACCAATGAAAACTGACCCCACTTTTCTCCTCAATACAAACCCGTGACATTCTAAGTATTAGACAAGCAATTCACATGGACAGGTTGTTAATACAGGCATCCTTACTATTATAGTAACATTTATCTTTTAGCACTCAACAGAAATTTGAAAGAAGAAAATCCTAGAAACTTCTTGTATTTTTCCAATTATCTGGACACTCAATTAAAAACATCTATAAAAAACAATATGCTAGAAAGGATGTATACACTTTGCTTATTCTTTATCATATCATTCTGCTGGATTCCAATCTGTATTTGATCTACATTTTATTCTAATAAAGTTAATCAAAACAACTTTTTTTTGTAAATAACAAGACTAACAGATATTAGCCAAATTTTAAAATAAATTCCGTAATTTTTTATAATCTTATATTTTCTTGTCATAATTATTTAATTGCAAATTGATATAAAGGAAATTCATGAAAAGGCAAAGTTGGTTAATTTACTTACACAACAAGCCTTATTGAGTTATTTAATGTTAAATGTGTTACAAAATGTGGAAGCTGGCCCAGATAAGCAAACTACTATAGCTATGGTAGCATTGATTCTTTTCACAAGTCCACTGTCACAGTTCTTTCTAATATTGATGGAAGTTTTCTTCCTAACCTTTTGTTTAAGATAGGGTGGAAAGTCAACATGTTATGTCATTAAAAAAGTACTTCACAAACAAATGAATTTCCAGAAGACTTAAAACTGAATATATTAATTAAACTTTTATAAATGGCCATGGTGAGATCAACCATCCCCAAACAGGAAACATTTGACATTCATTGACTGAACAATCAGCATTACTGTCAGTTGAAATTTTATTTCCCTTAAAACAGTTTTTTTTAGTAATGGGTTATAGGTAAAAACAGATTTTTTTATAAACCTATAATGAATAACAGACTTTTATTTAAAATTTTATAATACCAGATTTATATAAATATACTAGCAGTAGAGCCCGGCGTTGCCCGGGGATGTAACAGTAAGAGATAGATCAAGTATCGACCATCATAAAGACTGAAAAATAAAATTGACAAAGATTATTGTTTAAGGTTGATGGACACGCATGTCTTAATTAGTTTTTTTGTTTTGTTTTGTTTTTTTTTGGTTTTTTTTGTCAAACCCAAACTCAAACAAAAGCATTGTTTTCGATCGTTATGAGTCTACCGATTGAATAGAATTTTATTATAAACAATTGTCTTGTAAATGGAATTTTTAAAGCATTCTGAATGTAAAAATAAAGAAAAAAGTGTGCAAGACAATAAGAAACACTACCTGCCAAAAAAAAGTGAAGTTTTGTTGAAATCGGTTGAAAAATGTAGGAAATCCGATCCCATATATAAACGAACACAGACACACACCCACAAACAACCTGGGTTTTATAATAAGTATAACTCGATGTGAGTTGTCCCCCTTTCATTCTCGACAGCGATGCCTCTTAATCGTGTTTTCAAATTGATTTCGTGCAAAAACAATTGTGTTTTTCCAATTTTTGGTGCTGTCAGAACCACCACAAGGTAATTTTACATAGTCCTGTGAAGTTTTGTTGAAATCGGTTGAAAAATGTAGGAAATCCGATCCAATATATAAACGAACAGAAACACACACACACACACACACACACACACACAACCTGGGTTTTATAATAAGTATGATAATTAGTACAAAATTTTAAAAAAAAAGAAGTAAAATGAATACCTGATTTTTATTTTTAATCTTATAATACCATATTTTATGGTGGTTATTAATAGGTTAACAGACATCAATAATGTTTATATATTCATTAAAACATATAAAAATAATAAATTATATAAAAAAGAAAAAAAGTACTTACAATTTGTTGACACTTTGTGGTGCACAGTGAACATTGGCAATCAAAGTAAAATCGTTCTTTTAATTCCTGTTTTCTTTCCCAACTTGGCCGGTTGGTATCAATGTAACTAATAAACACCTACAAAGAAAATTTTTATTCAAAAATAAAAGAATAAAAATAAATGAAGAATTAAAAAGGAAAATACTTTACAAAAAAGTGAATTTCCAGAACACATACAATTGAACACATTTATTAAATTTAAGAAAATGTGATGAAAAGAAACATTGAAGAAAGCTAGGATGTTCCACACTTGTCTGTGGTGAAGCTGAGATAATAAACAATTCATAACATTTACTTAATTACAGTTAAAAACACGAGTATTGATGTTGGTAATTCATATATTCCAAAGAGAAGCCATAAAATGCTTTCTTTAAGTGAAGACGTAAAAAGTTCTTTGTTTAATAAAGAAACAAAAAAAATTGTATGTTCTGGTTGTAAAGATCTATGGTAAGAATGAATCTTCTCTGAATCACATTAACTTTTATTACAGTCTATTGTTTTAATTGTTCTATTTTATTATTGGTTATTGTTGTTGATCTCATATTGAGCCTAATAAGATCTATACTAAGAACGAATCTTCTATCCATCACATAATGTTTATTACAGACTATTGTTATAATCCTTCTATTTTATTATTAGGTATTGCTGTTAATTTCTTATTGGGCCTGATAAGATCTACACTAAGAATGAATCTTCTGTCACATAACTTTTATTTTAGTATATTGTTATAATTGTTCAATTTTATTATTAGTTATTGTTGTTAATCTCTTATTGTGTCTAATAAGATCTACGGTAATAATGAATCTTCTATCTGTCATATAACATAGCTTACAGTCTGTTGTTAAGTGGGGCAAGGATTGTCATTAACTTGAATGCCATCAAAAAAAAATTCTCTCTATTATTCATTTGAGAAACCCCCTTTCTGCTTCCCATCAGCATGGCTGATGCTAACCTTCAGGAGAGTGACTCATTGCACCTTCTCGGGCTAAGATTCTTACCTGACATGAAGTGGAAAGATTATATTGAATCCATTGCTAGGTCTGCTGCTAAAAATGTTGGTTCACTGTGTCATGGGAGACAATTTTTCTCTCCAGAATTCACCTTACACATTTTAAGTCTACCAATCGTCCATCCTTTGAATATTGCGATCACATATAGTCTGATGCTACTGCTATATATCTACAGATTCTTGATAAAATCCAAAGAAGAATCAGCAATATTATTGGTCCTGACCTGGCATCTCAGCTTCAGTCACTTTCTCACCACCATAATGTAGCTTCCCTGTGTCTTTTCTATAAATACTTTCATGGTAATTGTTCTCATGAACTTTTGTCTATGGTACTTAGAATTTATGAATTTAAGCACAATACTAGATTGGTAGCAAGATCTCATCAATTCACATTTGAATTAGCTTAGATCTAACTGTAATTTCTATGTTAGCAGTTTCTTTTTTCACACTTCTTGGTTGTGGATCTTTCTTCTGGCTCCATGCTTTCCAGCCAAATTTGATCATCAAAAATTTAAATGCAATGTCAATCATTATCTTATGTCTTCTTGATTCCTCTCCTATTATTCTTGCTCCTTAATAATGTTTCTCTTTTTTCTTATTCTTTCAAACTCAGTAACCCCCTTGTGTCTTAGTGGCTTTATTGCCTTCCTTGGAGGTGAAATTATTAAAAAAAAATATTTTAAAATATACATCTTCTCAAAGTTGTTTCCTAGTTAAAATATTGTTCATTCAAGATACTCACATATGAATAAGAAAAAATACATTTAAGCAAGAAATGCAGGCAGGATCTTACTTGTTGGGGTTCCGCTTTGACCACCTGACGCACAGCACGTATGGTTATCTCAGGCCCCGAGAATGTAAACACAGCATTTGGGTCACAGCTGTGGTCAAGCTTAGATGTCCTTAAAAAATAAATAAATGCTTCAGTTTCAGAAATTCCCTTTTTTAAAATGTTTTTCTGTTTTTTTTTAAACATTTTACTTTTTATACCAGACTTTATTTTGAAAGCTTATTTCATCTCCACATCTAAACACTATTAACTAAAATGTTTCTTTATTTTTATGCTTTTATTTAAACAAATAATAAATGCCCTGACACAACACCATGGCACTCAGTTTCTTATCTCAGCTGACTGGAGGTACTAACATGTACATGTCCTGCTTAGGGGCTGTTCATGAGTGGGAGCAGTGAGAGAGCAACATGTCTAGTTGTTGAAAGGATTGTTTTAATTTTTTTAAGCTTGAAGAATGAGGTGGCCAACATGATTTGAGGATCACATCTTACTAGTTGGGACCATATTTAATCAGAGACAGTAATAATACTAATATAGTGGAGTCATAAATCCTCTTTGGATGTGTACATGAAATAAGCTTTGGAGTAAAGGTCTGTAAAAAGTGAAAACAGTTTTGATACACTATAATAGTAATAATAAATATATGCAACATTCTGTAGAAGTTATTAATATGAAATAATATCAGTGCATTATTTACTGAAGGTAAACGTTTTTATTTGAAGGAGAAGAATAGCAACAATTTTTATTTACCCAAGGTAAATTCCAATTCCCAAAGTCTCTTTATGTTCTTGATCTTGTATACTATGGCTATTTATCAGCATCTGGAAAAAAAAATAACATTCAGGGTAGGTCTTCAGCTGAGCCAAAGGCATTGAGGTGTCGGCTCTCCCAGAAATTCATCATAAAGTGTTTAGATTAGATCTGCCAGTCACTTGACAACAGTATAGTTTGAGCAGTTGTTTTCCTGTTTTATCAATGGTGGTTTCTTCAATGACTTGTCAATAATATTGGTCATTCATCCTGTTTTTCAGATCAGACCTAGATCATCCTGTTTTTCAGATCAAACCTAGATCATCCTGTTTTTCAGATCAGACATAAATCATCCTGTTTTCCAAGATCAGACCTAGATCATCCTGTTTTTTCAGATAAGACCTAGATCATCCTGTTTTTCAGATCAAACCTAGATCATCCCGTTTTTCAGATCAAACATAGATCACCCTGTTTTTTCAGATAAGACATCCTGTTTTTCAGATCATCATCCGTTTTTCAGATCAAAACATAGATCACCCTGTTTTTTCAGATAAGACCTCATCCTGTTTTTTCAGATCAAACATAGATCACCCTGTTTTTTCAAATCAAACCTAGATCATCCTGTTTTTCAGATCAAACCTAGATCATCACAGAGACATATGATAATATTGAATTTTCAGCACAAAGAACAAAATCTATGACAAAGTGGAGAAAATTTTCATGTGACATGTTTTGTCCTTCAGAACATCTTTATGTTGATGTGATTACATATGCACATGAAGGGGAGGAGATGCTGAATTTTTAAATTTAAATTAAATTTTTTAAATATTTTTTTTTTGTATATAGTCTAGCCAATTTCATTTGTTTTCTTTTTGTTTATGTTTCCATCGCTTTTGTTATTAAATGTCACACATTTGTGATAATAGAAGATTTGCCAAGAAAGGTGACATGTTGTAAGGACCTGTACATAAAATTACTGTGGATGATCTAGCGATTAAAGAACTTTCTATACATTTTTGTCTTAGTAAATTACTTTCTGTTTTAATTAAAGTAGCATTTTTTTATATTAAAATTGTGGTCAGACTTACTACAGTGAGCAACTAATGCAATGTGTTGTTTTGTAAAAGATCCCTTTTGTATTTATATATTCTTTTATTTAAATTCCTTCAGGTTTCCCCTATGTATTCTTTGTGGCAATTATTACAGGTGATAGACTAAATTTCTCCTTCAAGTTTTCACTTATTATTTTGTTTTGTATTAAGTATTTCATTGTTTTAGAAATAGTTGTAACAGATTTTATGTTAAGCTTTTCAATTGTAGTTGCGAGAGATTTGTTAGGTAGAATAAATATATTTTGATATGTTATTTGTCAGAATAGTTGATTCTTCTATGAGCTTTTTTGTTTTACATTGAACAGGAAATAATTAGGCTATTGGTTGGAATGTCGAACTGAACCCTTTATTTTGCTCACTGGGATAGACTGTTCTAGTTCCATATGCCATGTTTAATGGATGTCAGTTATCTCCTATTAATTCCCCTCTCCAAGTTCTCCACCACCTTGAGGACACAGTGGATAAAGGCATTGGTTAGATCCAGTGACAGGACCCAAACAGTGTGAGTTCAATACCCGGTTGAGGCAGTGGAGAACTTGGAGAGGAGAATTAACAAGAGATGACTGATAACTAATATGCATTAAACATGACACGTGGAACTAGAACAGTCTACCCCAGTGAGCGAAATAAAGGGTTCAGTTCAACATCCCAACCACCTGAAGAAGGCCAGAGCATACAACGGCCGAAACGTTGTAATAAATATGGTGGCAAAGATGAGGACAATAGTCCGAATAATGTAAATAATGTACATAATACCTCATCTCAGAAATATAGACAGATATTAATGAAATACATTATATTTTTACCTGAATGAATATAAATATAATTACAATCTGAGGTTCTTCAAAGAAACATTTTCATTATTAGTTACTATAAATAGAATAAAGTTTGACTAGATTTTTGGACCAATCTAATAAATAAAAAGTGTTTAATATTTTTATTGTAAATTCTCAAGAACAAAAAAATGTATAAATTCACTTTCATCATATGTTTAGGTTCTATTACAATTTTAATATTCGCTTTTTAAAACAATAAACATTGCCGAGGAGTGAAGGTGGTTAAAATAATAGCAGTGTCAAGGGAAGAAAACATCTTTTTGATATTCTGTTTTTTGTTTTTGTGGGACAAAATTCCATGTCTGCCAGATTTTTTTTTTAATTAGTTTTATCAAATTCTTTTGGGACATTCATTATTTTTATAAAATTTTTTTCTTTGAAATTTTTCCACCGCATTTGGTGAGGTTGAACATAGAAGGCCCTCAATCTTAACTAATTTAGAGGAAATTAAAACTCACCTTGCCAAAGATCTCCCAGAGAATTTCAGTTGAAGGGAGTTCAAAGCTCGAACCAATTAATTTTGATAAAACATCCATGATATGATGGAACTGATTATTTCTTTTTTCATCCTTTTTTATATCACTGGAATCTGGAGGAAAAAGAAAAACAATTACTGTATTTGCCTCCTGATAAGATGTATTATTTTTTTAATGTACCAAAAAACTGCCCTGTGACTAATACAGCTGTATTAAGGATGGGATACAAGTGAGTGCTGTACATGTAGGCTAGGGGTACTGGATGAGTTTGTTAGGCATAAATATTGTTACCTGTAATAAAATACTGAAAACAAGCTAAATTATTAGAGTAAATTGTGTTACTAATAATAAAATATTGAAAACAAATCATCAATGTATTGGCACAAACTTGCGTCAAATTGCTTATGGCACATTAACAGTTAAGAGGGAAGCTCACATGATCACATTCTACCACTTAACCAGCATACATAACCCACACAAGATATATGGTATGTCATTAATGACGATGTTACTGTTAAGCAGCATTTGTTTATTACCGTAGAGTGAAAAATGTTCCTAGAAATATGAAAGCAATGTTTGTTAACATATAAGATGTGTATGACTTATTGTTATATTAACAGCAGTATCTCCTTTCATTTTGACCACCCATGTGGCTTTGGGGGTGGTCCCAAATCTTCTGGAAAGACAAGTGGATGGAGGAGATAGGGACCCAGGATTATCCATACATGCAGAAAGAAGCAGGAAGTTAGGAGGAAAGAAGGTCCATCTATGAGAGAAGTAGGTAGGTGACTAGAGGAGTTAGAGCTGCCTAACGGCCAGTAACAGAAGGACAGGTAGTGAGGAATCAGGAGTCACTGAGGCCAGTGAAGTTAGGAAGATAGAGCCCACCTCTTGAAGCTGAAGGAAGAATTCCATATTTAAGTGAGAAAACATTGTTGTTACTTCCCAACTACAGAGTCTTGAAAAAAATTGTCTTGATTCTTTTTTTGTTGAAAGCAATCACAGCCAAGAAGACAAACCTGTGCACATAGTGAGTTGGGTATATATGCAAATACACTCAACCTTGGATGTCATCACAAGTGCAGTGAAGAACGGACGATCGGAGAACATCGTCACAAAACTTGTCATGATATCACCACAAAAGGCCCCACATCTGCTAAGCATAAAAATTGTTACTAGGAATAAAATATTGAAAACAAGCCAAATTATGAGTCTATTGGCACAAACTTACATCAAATTGCTTACAGTATGTCGGCAGTTAAGAGGGTAGCTCACATCATCTCACTCTACATCCTAACCTAGCATATATAATTCACACAAGATATACTGTATATCATTAACAACTGTTATCTTTAAGAAACATTTGTTTATTACCGTATCTAGAACAAAAAAATGATCATGGAAGCTGAAAGCAATGTTAATAAACTTCAGCTGCCTTTCAACCATTTGCAATGAGTTGATGACAACAAAAGCAGCAACCTTCTTAAACTCCTAGCTCCAAAATATTATACCATCAAAGGCATCATTTTTGGTCTTAAATTACCATATTGTATTTATGGTGTTTTGAAACACTGCTGCAACATATGTGTATCAAATTTTTATGAGATTCCAATAAGATATGTATGACTACACTTTTATGACTTTCGTTGTTATATTAACAGCAGTTTACCCCTTTAAAACAACTTTAAAATAAATTTCAATAAATATATGATAAAAACATTAAAAACTTTTTTTCCATAAAATATCCTTGTAAAATAGAGGGGCACCTTACGTGTTATACAAAGAAAAATACAATATATAAACAAATGCACAACTTCACCGTGAGTTCAAAAATTCACAAACCTACACATAATCTTATGCATTTTTAAGCTGTAGGTCATTATGAAATTTTAAAAATAAACTACTTCAGTAATTGGTCTGCTTGCAAAAAACATAAAATAATTTCCATTTTATTAGCATTTATTAGACTTTCCTGAAGCCATAACATATATTAGAATTGGGAAATATTGATTCTTTTATTATTTTAGAAAGGGAGGGGGTGATCCTGTTCATAATATGAACCAAATCAATTCCAAATTTCATAAAGAGTTACCTGTACCTAGTTTTTATTTACAAATGTCCATTCTAGGTATGATGATAAAGTACATCTGCCTTCAAGGCCTCTAATCAGGAGGTTTTGAGGAGCATGGAACCACCTCAATTGCTATTGTTCCTAGGTCCACCCTGACCCAAGGTGGTAGCACCTGTTAGGATCCCAGCTATGGGCAATTAGTTGACCTCCAAAGTGAAGTCAAAACACTAGGAAAGTATAAAAATATATTTTTATAGTAAAAATATAAGCAATACATAGTATAGTAAAAGAAAAAAAATATTACCAGCAACACATTAAAAAACGAATTACCAGCAATACACTAAAAAAATACCAATTAAATTACTAACGCTCTAATGAAAATTAAATTTCAACATTAAATGATCCATAAGGAGTTGATATGCCATTAAACAGTGATCCATATGGATCCTTAAATGATCCATAAGGAGTTGATATGCTGCTAAACAAGCGAAGTTTGAAACTGTGCTTATGTCCTTGATAAGTACGTACTAATTATGAATTAGTTAAAAAAAAAAAAAAGAGTAACATTAGAAATATCAGTAATCAATGATTTTGGCATAGTTTCAAACTTGACATTTGTAAAAATAAAATAAAGTACCAATAACTCTTTATGAAGTCAGTGATTGATTTGGTTTATATTTTGTTTAGCATCATATCACCCTCTATAGATTATTTTATACCAAAATCTAAATATTTTGTATGCTTGCATGTGTTGTATATAACATGATGGAGGATGTAAAATAGTATTTGCATATTGGTACATCAAAATCAACATTTGGCCTAGAAACTGATTGTCTTCTGTCTGAACTAGAAAACACAGAAATGGAAAGAGTTATCTCAAAGTTCCAAAGTTTTTTCAGCACATCTTTTTTGAAACTGAATAAATACCTGGATACCCACCCTGTGTATAACTTTTACAAGGCAGCTCACCTGTTTGATCCTAGACAGCTACCTTGTATAGGCCATGATTTAGACAGTTTTGCAGCCATCAAGATCTTGCAATGTCATTCTACTGATCTTCTTGAAGAATTCCAAATATATGTGAATTACCAAAATGATTTACGAAATCCTTTTAATATCCCATCATTTTGGAATGCAAATAAGAGTAGATTTCCTCTTCTGGAACAGATTTCCAATAAGGTCATATGGATGCCTCTTATCAGCATAGATACTTAATGTTCATTTTCTCAGTATAAACATTTAATCAATAAACAACATGAAAGTCTTACTCCTTAAGTCTTAAGTTATTTGTGGTTGATTCTTTAAATCTGCTTTTTATATTATGAATCAATAATTATAAATAAATCTAAATACTTTTACTTAAAAAAACAAAATCAATTTGAATGTGTTTCAAATGTGTTCTTAAAGAAAGAAGCCCTGATTAAAAGTTCTACCTTAAAGATAATTATGCACTGTAACATTCCATTATTTTATTGTCTAGTCATTTTACATTTTTATTTTTACATATCATTAATTTTTAGACTTGGATTTTAACATTTAAAAAAAGATTTGTAGATATTTGCTATTTTTTTATATGTAATAAAACTTTGAATTATATTTTTGTTTTCAGTTTTAATAATAATTATAGCATATTTTACTGCAATTTTCTTATAAATACTATAAAATGGAAAAATGAAATTTCTCAAAAGTAAAAATAGAAAAAAACAGAATTTACCAAAAGTGGAAATGGAATCAAGGAAAATTTGAAATGGAAAATTGGGGCCCTAGAAACATATAAGGAAGTCTACTATTCGAGTGAGAGATTGGTCAATTGAGAAGTTCAAAATCTGGATTCCTGCAAGGTCAGTAGCATTAGAGTAATGAAGCCACTTGACATGAAGGTCATTGAACTTGCTGAATGCAAAGATATTTGTAGATGAGCATATTTGAAATTCTATCAAGCAAGCAACAGTCATGAGGGGGTGGGGAAGCATAAAGAAAGAAGAGATAACTGAATTATCTCAATTGGATTCATTATGGTGAAAGTATTAATGAACATTATATCAATTAGACTCTTGTTGTTTTATGAAAGTCAATTCCTCACAACTCAGTTTGTTTTTTCGTCTGATAATGGATGTAATGACGACATATATACAGAACCCTGTTATGGAATTGTAGAAAAATTCAATAGAATACTTAAACTCAAAAACTAAATCATTTTTCTACATGACTGGCTTTGAATTTGAATTTCTATATTCATATATATTAACCAATCAGTGATGTCATATGAGACATGCAGAATCCTTTGAATTCACAGACAATTAAGATTTGTTGTTTGTTACAAAATTTTGAAAGATCACTTCAGAATATAATCAACAATATTTCCCTCCTTAAAATGGATATTTAAAAATTAGGAAAATATTTATTAACCAATAAACTTGAGATTAATAAATCTAATTTTTGTTTTTTTCTGGGGCTGATGTTTCATCATAAAAGCAATCAATTTTTGTTCACTAATTAGTTTTACAGTTAACCAGGTGTCGTTCATTTGTTATACAAAAGGGAAATTCTAAACACTTAATTAATTACTCACATTTTTGCACATTTATTTGAGTGTGTGATATTGACACACATAAACATACGGACCAAGTTATTTATCAACAACAGATATTAGCATTAGTATTAAAACAGCACACTGTTTATTCAACTGCTGACTGCTACAATTTATACACATACATAAAACAACGTAAATTCATGTCACACACATTCTCACATGTAGATGCATTCTATTTCTTCTATACTAATACAATTTATTCAGTTGTAAAGATACACAAAATATTTTGTGTGGAGTTGTTTTGCAAAGAATCTTTGTAATTCATTTCTTTCAATTTGAAAGAAAAATAATACTCAAATAATAAAAAATTATTTAAATTTGTAAAGCCATGTTAAAGATTCGCTTTCTTTATTTTATCCATGCATATTCAGTTAAATATATATCATCAAACAACTCCAGGAAATTGTATACTTTCTATGTTGACCTGAGAGCAGCATATGTCTATATCAATAGAGACTTTCTTTTCTCATCTATTAGAAACCGTTTTCCAAGTTCCAAATCCACTGAATGCATTGATCTGATAGAGGAACTTTATCAGTTCACAAAATCTTACATGTCTGGTGAGGCCTTCAATATAGAAACATTTCAAATCTCATCAAGAGTACAAAGATGAAATGAGCCCCTGTCTATTTAATCTTGTCCAAGACTATGCTCTGCACATATACAATTACAGATGTGAAGAGATGGGCATTGATCATTTAAACTTTCCATACCACATCTCAAATGAATCAAATACTAGCAGACAGAGATCCTGCATTCCCTCCCAAGTTCAATATACTGATGATGATATAGGTATACTTTAGTTGGGATAAAAATGATCTTGAACAAAAAAATCAACCAAGAAACAGGCCTCAAAATAATCCTTTCAGAAATAGAAACTATGATCTGGAATCGGAATGAAAGCAATAGTGACGCATATTGTGAATCCATTATAAAAATTCAGAATGAGGAATTAGTAAACATTTCAAATACTTCAGTGTATGGATTGGTTATAACAAATTTAATATAGGAGATAAAGAAACTGAATAGCACATAGTCTGTGCTAGAGGTAGTTTTATCCAACACTGCAAATTGCTACAAAACCAAGTATTACTCTGAAAACTCAAGTCATATTCTTAAACAGCCCTGTTAGCCCGAGACTTTCATATGGATGTCATGCATGGCACCAAACCCATTCAGAAATACCTAAACTGTCAGTTGTATACAACTGCTTTCTAAGACCAATGGTTAAAAATGACTTTGAGTGAATGAAGGCTGTGGATCTTGGCAAAGGCCATCCTTCTTCAAACATTGTGGACTAGCATAGCAGAATCACAAAGAACTGTACCAGACAACAGGAGCCACATCATTCGAGGACTAGCTAAAATGGATATCACTTGTAAATCAAAGAGAAGATAATGACATAATCAAGATATTGATATTCAACAATACTTCAAATAAAATCAATCAAAACTGGAAAGAGCAGTAACAGTTACTGGACTAATTGAGAAACCTATTTATCTGAAAAAATTGTTTTAAGAGAAAGATTTTACAAATTTCAACTGAAAGCAGCACTGGCTACTCAGTTAATGAATGCCAAATGTTTCCTTATAAGGAAAAAGATAATATTATGATTAGAAATAAGGAGAATAGGTACTATACTTTAATCCTAACCCAATGGCCAGTCTAACAGAATCACAGGACTGAGAGTGAAGGTTTCCTTTTGATGGTGCCAACACAAGAACGAGCTTTACCTATTCTTATCAAGAAATTGGCTTTTTTTTTCCTGTACTCTGTGTGACAATAGTTTTGACCACATCACATACTAATGAGTTATTTTTAGTTACTAGGAATAACATTTTCACACTTTGAGCTTTGACTACCACTTTATCGGTGGTAGAGAAAAATGATATAATACCCAGCCACTGGTTGAACAGTGGTAGAGAAAAATGACTGAATGACCAGCTACCAGCTGAACGGTGAGTAAACACTTGTAACCATTTTTATATCTACTATGAAACATTATATACCAATTATTTGCGTATTTTGACTCAGGAGCTCATGTAAAAGGGTTAAAATTATCCATGAACGCAGGGCTCAAAGAGTTAATTCATTATAATATCTAATTCAGTTTTTTTGCTTTTGTAGTGATGAACTTTAATTTCCTTGAAGACTATGACCTTTGACATTGCTTACAGATACATTCTAGATGAATTTCTGGCAGAGCAGAGAAATAAGTAACACAGGAATAAGAGAATAATAGACAAAAATAAAACATGTCACAGAGAATAGTAACTGAAAATGTAACAAAAAAGTAACAATAATAAAACAATTAACCAAAAATGTAACAAAAGAAGAAACAAAAATAAGTAACAGAATAAGTAGTTAAGAACAAAGTAAAATAAAAATAAAGAAACAAGTTACTCACGTGACATCAAATCTTGGAATGAACGTCCCCACAAAGGATCATCATTAAATATTTTTTCATGATCACCATTCTACAAGAATCAAGATTGAAAAACTGGGTTGACATTCAAAATCCTACCAAAAAGTGTTACAGAAACAAAATAACAACAGTTTTTTCTTTTTGCCTTAAGTAAATAAACTATTTTTTGTTTCTGTTTTGCTCATTTTTCAGTTGTTATGAAATCAGCAGCCCTCTTGGTCAGTCTTTTACCAACTGGACAACTCGCCTCATACTGTGTTTTGATTTTGATTTCTGTCTGTTCCTGTGAGTTGGTCGATTCTATGATATAAACACAGGGAGAGATTTCAAAATGAGTTTGCTGCTGTGGAAAGAAGACTAAATCAACACTGTAAATTGTGGAATGCATGTGTAGTTTGTGTTCACTTGTGAAAGAATCAGTTTCACTGTATTCCTTGTCAGTTCTTTGAGGTTCACTTTGGCAACAATAAATCTCGTTTCCTCCTTGTTCTCTTCTCTATCTCTCGTGCTCTTATTCTTTGTCTGCTGCAAAAAACCAACACTTGACAATATGATGATCATAGAATCTAAAAACAATTCACCCTTCCCCCATCGGTAACGTGATTTTTATATTCTTTTTGACAGTCAGAAATTTGCATGTTACCAGCAAAAAATTGTATTTGCAAGAATGAAACATTTTTAAATATTTGACTTATGAGCGGCCATCTTTTTTTTCTGGATTTCTTTACATTCAATGCACGTGCAAAGTCTTTGTACCTGCAATAAATCATTTTTTGTGATAAATTGCTCAGACACCACAATCCATTGCAAACACTTTATATAAGACAGTTTTTATTCTACCTCTGTCTGCCTTTTCCTCATTGTTTAATTGCTGGTAGACAACAAATGCTCCTCTTAATAGTCACAAGGGGATAACATGCTTGGGCCGCTTTACACAGCACATCCTGCCAAGAAGCACTTCTTGCTATGGATAGATCAGGTTATGATCCATCAAATTCATGGATCAGCTTTAGGTTAAACTTGCCGTCTATTTTCACTGACAGCTTGTAACTGGAAGAATTCATGCAAGGTCACCAACAGTCAAAACTAATGGTTGCCAACACTCCACCAGTCACCAAAACATCAAACGGTTGTCAGTCCTTACTTGCCTGTCTTGATAAAGTCCAAAAGCGTCTATGAGACCTTGTGGGTGATGCATTATTTTTCATCCTACAACCTCTTTCCCACAGACGAAAGATCACAAGCTACCCCTGAATTTATTGCATGAATTTTAACCCCTCCAGAAAAAGATTTATCTGTGTATAGTGCAATTGGTCACCAAAAATGCATGATTTTTTAATCTCTTCAAAAAATATTACTTGTATATAGTGCGAACTGCTATTTTTTGCATGAAAAACTGATCATAAAAACTTGCACCATACTCAAGTATATATGGTATATTGAATCAGTTTCTAGGTCTGCTGCTAGGAAAATTGGTTCACTGTGTTATGCTAGACAATTTTTCTTGCTAGAACCTTTCTTAAATATTTACAAGCCATACTTTGAATATTGCTGCCTCATATGGTCTAGTTCTACTGCTATATATATATATATATATATATATATATATATATATATATATCCAAGTATATAATTGGTATATACGGAATGAATTCCAATAACCAACAATTACTATTCTTAAAAGCGTGCTCAATACAAACCAGAGCAGATATAATTATTACTTAAAAAAAAAAAATATAACATAAATATGTTATAAAACTACTACAAAAATAACCATTTTGTTTCAACACCCTCGGTGTCTTATCAAGTGATGATGTTGAAGATAAAATAAATGGTTTTAAAAGTTTCAAATTAATTAACGATCCTTCACTAGGGGGAAACATTGTTACAAAAGCTAGAATAACCAATCAAAATCCAAGTATAGGAAGATTCAAAAGCTTGATAACGAAATCATGTTATAATAGCTATTCAGATCTTTAAAACATGGGTAATATTAAAAAGAATTTATACTAACCAATAATTATAAAATTATATGATAAAATTTAATATTAAAATTAAAAACTGCCAATTTTAAAATCCAAATTTAATCACTATTAAGTTTAAAAACTATAAAATTATTGAGAAAAGAAAAAATACATATGTTATTCAATTTATTTCTTCATTGAAATTACGTTCGACAAGACGCTACAATATCCGGTCATTTGACAATACATGTATATATATTTTTTTTTATTCTAAAGTGTGTGAATGTGGTCTTAAACTCACGCACAAAACAACAAAAACACAATCAGATTATAATACATAAGCACCCAGACATATTTAGATATATATATGTACACACAAAAAAGCGACGAGACAGGAACATCTCTACAGCCCTTTATGAAAAAAGGAAACGGGGAAACCAACACCTATACACACACACAATTAAATGTGAATGCACTCTACATACACATAGACACCGATAAATACATGTACACACATCCACAGACAATGACTTAGACACTCAGATACCACAACTAATAAATATTTAAGACTTAAAGTATCATTGAATAAATGCTAACCACTTATTAAATTATAACTTAAGGGAGCGAATATACAAAGATAAAAATGGTTAAAAATAATATTATTTAATATATTAAAACAAAAATTCCAAAACCACAAATATCAATAAAAATATATTTTAATCATATAAGTTGATAATAGTTTCATTATATATTAGGCGAAGAAAAACAGGATAAAGAAACCCACAGAAATAAGTGTACAGTCATACGCATATACATATATACACACGCGGCAGCAAACACAAATTAACACACATATACATACATACATATATATACATACATATACACACACAGAAATACATACATATAAATATATAAACATAAACATATACGCATATACATATCTATGATAACAAGTACTTATACATATATACACACATTTTTATGCACACATACTCACATATATAAACATATGCACCAATATAAATACATGCACCAATACATATATGAACATATATACACACATAGACTATCTACTGTGGCAGTAATGATATAGCAAAGTTTCCATACTTACGATATTGAGTCACCCCCCCCCATGAGGGTGTCATGTGGCACAAGGCCTTTTTAACGTGGGCATATGCCCATTGAACCCATATAAACGGGTTCAGGGCCGGTTTACCTCCCGAAGGAGACTCCATACCCTTAGGAGCCTCCTTCGGGTTCCTCCCGTCCGTAGGAAGAGAGTACAACCGAACAGTCGGTTCAGAAGTGAACGACTGATTTACACATACACGCAAACAATCTCATATATAATAGATGTCAACACACACATATACATCCACAAACATACATATATATACACATACATACATATATACATATAAACATATACATAAATATATCTATCTATAATAACGAGTACCATAATATACATGCATACATATAAATACAACAACATTCAACCAAATACATATATAAACGTACATACATATACATTCATAAACATACATCCAAATACCTGCACACAGCAATATACATATACCCAAACATACATATATAAAACCACATTCATACAAACAGAAATATACGTAAATATAAATTTACATACACAATAAAATAGGACACGTACAGATATATACATATATACACACATGCACACACACACACATATATATATATATATATATATATATATATATATATATATATATATACAAATATACAGTGGCACAAAGCTGAAATTAGGGGGCACCCAGTGAGGAACGAACTCACTACTCAGTCGCAATTGATCTAGCGAACCAAGCTTGCCAACCATTATACCGTCTTGAGGTGTTCATATATATATATATACATATATACATATACATATACACACATATACACACACACACATCAACATTTTTTTACTTTTTCTCTTATCTTCCATACCCTCCCACCTTATATATATATATATATATATATACACACACATATATACATACACACACACATATATATATATATATACATACATATATATATATATATATATATATATATATATATATATATATATATATAAAAACCTACATATAAATACATTTATATTCAAACCTACACATTCCTCAGTGCAGACACGCTAACCTACACATAAATAAGTATATACACATATACACCAACACAAATAACACTATGTAGGTAAACAATACACATTTATATCATCAGTATGACCATCATGCAATAAAAATACTAATCTAAAAAAATTACAGTGACATATCATTATCATTTTAAGTATACGACCCCTACACTAAGTTAAATTTATAACGGTGTTTACAATTAACTGTAAGTTCATATTTTTGATTTAAGAGATCAGCCTTGTTTTTAAATCTAATAATTTCAAATTTTTCGTTAAGGCATAGGTAACATGGGGCATATAAGAAGTTACATGTCTGAGCTTTCTAAACCAAACTCCATTTAACCATAGGTGTTTTGTTCTTTTCTTTTAGATTCCAAAAATACTTGGATAATGAAGTCATGTACCTATATTTACTGTGATTAAAGGATTGCATATGCCCCCATAGCATTCCTTGAATGTTTTTCATGGTGCTACCAATGTAAAATTTCTTTATATTTGGATTTTCAATTGTTGAAATAGTACTAAGATAGACTACAGAAGTAATCCCACAGTTATTTTGTAGTGGACAATTATTCGGATTCCTACAATTACATAAGTTGTTATTTGTATTATTATATTTAGTATTGCAGTTAGTAACCTGTTGAGTAGTCAAGCCTTTTGAATTCCTATACTTGTTAAAGACTATGTTGTTATGTTTTTTAATTATCTTCTCCAGGTTATCAGCACAACTATAGCTTAATTTAAGGGTATTAGGATATATATATATATATATATATATATATATATATATATATCAGGTCATCCTGTAAGTTCTGTCCGAATTTTAACTTTTTGTTAAAATGAATGAAATTTAAAGAGTATTTTATAATGTCTAATAGAGCTGAACATTATTTTTTATGTTTAGATGCATTTAAACTGATCAAATTTTATTTCAGAGAACAATAAAATTAAATTTTGTTTGATTAAACCCTGCTAACATGGAAGTACCCAAGAATCATTTGAGGCACATAATGCTTAATGAGTTCAAGAAAGGAAACTCAGCAGCCGAAGCGGCTAGAAACATTCACTCAGTTCATGGAGAGGAATGTGTGAATGAAAGAACTTGCAGAAGATGGTTTGCAAAATTCAGAGGTGGTGATTTCACCCTTGAAGATGAAGATCGAACTGGACATCCAGTTGAGTTTGATGAAAAGCTTCTTGAAGCAGCCCTTGAAGAAAATCCTGCTTTATCAGTTGAGGAATTGGCAGTGGTTCTCAGTTCAAACCATACAACTGTTCATCGTCATCTTCAACAACTTGAAAAAGTTCCTAAACTTGGAAAATGGGTGCCTCATGAATTGTCTGAAAACAACCTCAAATCCCAAGTTGACATCTGCTCTTCTCTCCATTCTCGCCAACTTGTTCAACTTTTTTGGATAGACTTGTGACTGGCAATGAAAAATGTATCTTTTATCAAAATTTTAAGCATCGTAGACAGTGGCTTGGTAAAGGAGAAGGACCCCAGACACAGCCGAGAAGGGAACTTCATGGGCAAACGGTTCTTCTTTCAATCTGTTGTCATTGCCAAGGAATAATCCACTTTGAATTCTTACCACCTAATGCAACAATTAATGCTCAAATATACTGTCAGCAATTAGAGCGTTTGAACCAAGCTTTGAGGCAAAAAAAGACCTGCTCTAGTGAATTGAAAAGAGGTGATGTTTTATCAGGACAATGTGCGACCCCACACAACAAGAATCATGTCACAAAAGATCAAAGAACTTGGTTGGGAGAAAATTCCTCATCCACCTTATTCTCCCGATCTTGCTCCTTCAGACTACCATTTGTTTTGTAGCTTACAGAATCATTTGGAAGAAACAGCTTTTGTAACACAGGAAGAGGTTAAAACTGACATTTGTGAGTTCTTCGAATCAAAGCCAAAAGAATTTTACAGTAATGGAATTAGTAAGCTTGTTAATAGATGGAAGGAAGTCATAGATAATCAGGGAAAATACATTGTTGAGTGAATCTGTAATTAAATGTAACATTTGGACACTTGTTTTCTTTATTCAAAATTTGTACAGAACTTATGGGATGACCTTATATATATATATATAGAGAGAGAGAGAGAGAGAGAGTTAGATAAATCAGATGACCAGATATAAGAAACTGTATACGCACGTGTTGGCATGCATACACAGGCAAGCAAATAAAGATTCATCAAATTTATTCATGAGGTTTGGTTTGGTTTGGTTTCTTTTATGGCATATCACCCTCAATGGGTTATTTAATGCTGACAAAATTTTTATTGCTGGTAATGTTTTTCTTCAAAAATCTATTTCTGGGAATATTTTTCCTTGAAGAAATCAATAGCTGGTCATATTTTGCTGAAAGAATGTATAGCTGATAATAATTTTTCCTTCAAAAATTATTGTTGGTAATATTCTTTTTTATTACAAAGTATTTCTGGTATTAAAACCTATTTTTACACAAGTTTGGGTGTCAACTATTTGCCCATAGCTGGGACCCTAACAGGTGCTACCATCCTGGGTCATGGTGGACCTGGGAACTCCAGCAATTAAGAGGTGGTTCCACGATCCTCAAAACCTGCTGATCAGAGGCCTTGCTGTTGGACATAGTTTATCGTCTTACCCAGGACGCAGATGTAGTTTATCATCATACCCAAGACAGTATTCATAAGGTGTAAACAGTGCTTGATGTGGTTAGACAGAGTAAAGATATATATTAATAAATATACATACACATATACCTACGTTTTGGTGTGTGACTTACGTTTAGATTCTTTACTAATATATGTATGATTATAAAGTTCCTTATTATAAGGAATATACACTCCTCTGGATAGATCAAACGTAGTATCTAAGAAATTGATCACCTTCGTGTTGGTTACAGTGGTGATGTTAAGTCCATGATCCTCAAAGAATTTGATTAGCTCTTTCCTAAGCCAGTCAGTTTTTTTTTGGCTTGGAGTTATATAGAAGGATCACTCCATCATCCCCATACAGTCCGGCGTTCTCACTATCGAAAATATATCTGAGCCTCCATAGTAGTAGTAGTATGACTCGCTCACTGGGAATTCATAGCCCAAACCAAGTCATTTTCTGGTGTGTGTGTGTGTGGGGGGGGACAATGCAACCTATGTCTTTTAGAAAAAAAAATTAATCCTCAAAAATATTAACAAATGGAGGTCAACTTAATAAGTGGAGTGAACTCATGATAGCCTGTAGGTACAGAAAATTGTTTCTCTTAAAATACTGGAAGCCAGATTAAATTCCTCTTTTTAATTACATATAATTTTCTTTTATTAAGCTTTATGTTTCATAACCACTTATCTCCCTTTTACCCGGCAAACATTACTATATCAGAACTAGACCAGCATCTCCATCTCCAGTAATAATTTTAAATTTGATATTTGAAATTTCTATTTTTTCCTTTATTTATTTAGTTATATTTTTTAAAATTAAAAAAAAAAATGAACTCTACCTGAACTTCATTTCCTGCATAAGATATACTTTGTGCCTGATGAGCTGGAAAACCAGTGAAACTTAAGTCATGTAGGTATATATATATATATATATATATAGTGGAATATGCATATGCATGTATAAATGAAGAATTAAATTAATCTTCAAACATGGATTTACAAATTTCAATAAGTTTTATTTATTTAAGTATTATTTTTCTTTCAAATTGAAAGAAATGAATTACAAAGATTCTTTGTGAACAACTTCACATAAATTGTTTTGTGTATCTTTTTTCCAGTACAACTGAATGAATTGTGTTAGTATAAGATAAACGGAAAATGCATCTGTATGTGTATAGATACATGTGACACAGGCTTGCATTATTTTCACTGGGTGTATGAAATTGTAATTGTCAATCTCATAACAAAAAAGGCATTAAATTAGTTGCTACTGTCAGCAGAATGTTGGCTCTATCACTAACCATAATTCTGTAATATCGTATACTTCAATAATATATGTGAAAGATGTGAGTAATTGTGTGTGAGAATTTCAGTTTTGTTTGTATAACAAACAATCGAACAAAGGTTCACTGAAAGACTAGTTAGCAAACAAGAACTGATCATATTTATAATAAAATAGTAGGCTCCAGATGAATCTAAAATTTAGATTTATTAATCTCAAGCTTATTGGCTAATGTATATTTCCCTAATTTTTAAATATTCTTTTCATGAAGAAAAATATTGTTAATCATATTCAGAAGTTGAGCCTCCCAAAAATATAGATCTAAGAAATATTTCATCATCTGCCAATTCAAAGAATACCACATGTCTCATATGACACCACTGGTTGGTTAATATATATGAATACAAAAATTCAAATATCTGGAGCCTGTCAATGTACAAAATCAAGTTACTTTCAGCGTGATGAGTTTTCAGTGACAGTACTTAAATAATCTGTTAGCATTTTTCTACAATTCTGAAGCAGGGCTCTCTCTCTCTCTCTCTCTATATATATATATATATATAAAACCTTGATGAAGTCCCAAAAAGAATCTGCAATGTTATTGGTTCTGACCTGGCATCTCAGCTTCAGTCATTTTCCTACCACCACAATGTAACTTTCCTGTGTCTTTTCTATAAATACTTTCATGGTAATTGTTCTGATGAACTTTCTTCTATGGTACCTAAACTTTATGAATTCAAGTGCAGTACTTGATTGGTGGCAACGTCTTAGATGTAACTGTAAGTTCTATGCTAATAATTTCTTCTCTTGCACTTTTCACTAGTGGAGCTCTCTTCTAACTTCTTGCTTTACAGTCAATTTTGATTTTGAAAAATTTAAATGCAACACCAATCATTATCTTCTGTCTTCTTAATTCCTGTTCTTTTATTATTCTTGCTCCTTAATTTTTTTTCATTTTCTTATATTCTTTTACCCTCACTACCCTCTTGTGTCTTATAGGCTTTATTGCCTTCCTTGGGATGAAATGATTTAAAAAAAAATTACTTTTAATTACCTTGTGTCTGATGAGGAGACGGAGAAACATGCAAATAGACTCAGTCATGATTGCAGGTGGTACATTTTTCAGACATTTACATTCCAGCTTGTGTAGTTTCCAGTCTGATTGCTGAAAAAAATAGATATAAAATGTCTCACATATGTGTAGATATTTTTAACATAGAATATATGCAAAAGGTATTTTTATACACACTCAGATTGTCTTCTACAAGTCAATTTTTTTCACAATAAAACTGATGTTAACCAACCAATGTTAATAAATGTTTCAGGCTATACTTATATGATAAATATACTATATGAATTTGGAGCATAATATCTTTTTATTAGAAATATTTACAGTTACTTATGCTCAATTAATATTAATGTTCTTGTGAAAGGCACAAATCCACTCATTCCGACAAACATGCAAAACAAGAATTAAGTTGAATATTGGCTAAGGCTATTTATGTTCACATAGCCCTAATGTTCTTGGGAAAGGCATGAATCAACTTCTTCCTACAAACATGGAAAAAAAGAATCAATTTTGCTACTGACTGAGGCTGCTTATGCTTACTGTTGAAGAGTAAATAAGACATCTCCATTAACACAAATGAACTAGGCAAGATGCCTTAAATAAAGAACTCAAAGTGAGTCAGTAGAGTTCCATTGGAATCAGTTGAGACATTATAATCACTAGGAGTGAGTTATAATAGTGGTGATGAGGAATCAAAACTCATACAGAGTAGAAAAAAGTACTTTTTCCTTCAGTCCACATGATAACAGTGATGACAATAAATTAGAACCAGTTTGGTGTATTTTTTTTTCTTTGGTGTGTAAAAACGAAAAAAAAGAGAAATATGGAAAAATAAAATCCAGATATTCTTTAAATATGGAAGAATTATTAGCTAAAGTGGTAAAAATACAACAACTGTAACAGCAACAACAGCAATTGTTGGAACTCCAGAAACAACAAAAGTTAATTGAAATAATACAGAAGAAAATGTAAAAATTCCCCAAGTTCTTTCAATCCCTACATGGTGGCAAATGCCATAGCTGAATTCACATACAAATCAAATGATAGAATTACCTTTACTGCTTATTTTAGAAGATACAAGCAAATTTTCAAAGAAGAATAAAGCAACTGGGCAGACGAGAAACAAAACAGAAAGTTGAGAAAGTTAGCACCAGTAGAACATGAAAAATACTGTAATTTTGTACTATTGAAAAAAAAAAACAGGAGAAATTTGTTTTGAAGAAACAGTAAATATTCTGACTAAAATTTTTAGTGAGAAAAGTTTATTATTCAATACTCATTGGAAGTGTATGAATCTGACAAAAAAAGACAAAGATTTTATCACATATGCTGGAACCGATTACAAGGAGTGTGAAAGACACAAATTAAACTGAATCCAGATAAGTTTAAAGGTTTAATTTTTGTTCAAGGGTTAATAGTGAAAAGACACAGAAATATGTGCTAAAATTCTAACAAAACTTGAAAAGAATCAAAAATTAACACAAGAAGAAACATTGGATGACTGTCAGAGAATCCTAGGTCTGAGATGTGATATGGAAGAAATTGAAGAGAAAGAATGTGCATACATATAAGCTAAAGAAAAATGTGGAAACAGAAAACTTAATCCATGTGGAAGGTTACAATTCAGAGATGACTGTCACTTTAAGAATTCAAAGTGCTACAAGTATGGAAAAGTAGGGCATAAAAAGTCACACTGTAAAACTAAAGCAAGGAAAAGTTCTCACAGAAATAATTTTGTACACAATGTTGTGACAGAAAAAATAATTACAGAAAACCAAAGAAAATTTATCTATGTGAAAATTAATAATGTTGATGTAAGAATGCAACTAGACACTGGTAGTGACATCACAATAATCAATGAAAGCAAATGTAAAACCTATATTAAAAAGAACTTTGAAAATCACACGTGGCATGCCAACTAAAAAATTATGTTTTATTGGTGAAATGACTTATAACATTTCATTTTGTAAAAAGTGTGTAAAAGCTAAGGCTCATGTGTTAAAAAATACTACAAACTTATTCGGTACTGACTGGATGGAATTATTTGAGTTGTGGGATTTATCTATAAATATTTATTGCAAAAATGTAAGTTGACAAGCTACCAGTTAAAAAAAAAAAACAGTGTAAAAATTTAAAGGCAGAATTGAAAAAATGTTTTTTGGATATTCTGTTGGATGAGTTCACTTGGTGTTCCAAAGTCAAAGCGAAATTTCAAGTGAAAAATGGGTTGATACCAGTGTTTGAACTGAAATGTAGTGAAACATTTGCAGCATTGGATCAAGTCAATGTAGAATTAGACAGACCTGAAAAAATAAGTGTAATTAAAAAGATTGCCCATTCAAATTGGACATGTTAGAGTATTAACCAATGGGGTCAGTAAAAAATAACAAAACAATAAGTTCAATCGCAAATCCATGTTCTAAAAGTCCAAACAGGCAAAGCAATCATAAACAGTCCAGAAGGCAAATTAATACTGAAAAAAATAGTAAAAAATCCAACCTTCCACTCACAACAAGAAATGCACTTTTGCTCACCACGCTCCAAAATCACTCTCCCTTTATTAATCAAAGTAACAGCTTTTAATCCCAGAGCAATTTTTCTGATTGTCCATGCCAGGAAAAAACATTAGCATAATTCTTCTGATACTTAAAATGGCAGCTTTTTGTTAATTTTCTTTATTTTTCCTTCAGCAGACCATACACAAAACACAAACACTTTTCAAGGTTGATGATTTTCTCTTTTGTTGCACTTCCCCTGTCACACAGATGAAACATGGGGGCAGTCCTCTTTAATCTTGAGCTTTTCCAGATCAGGATGATTATTAGAGGGGATTAAATGCTATGTTCAGAAGACTCATCTCCTGAGGAATCCTCTGGTTTAACAACCTCATGCACAAAGTCTTCCCCCATCTGAAGAGGTACTGGCCCTACCTCTGATGGTGACTATCCTTCACTTCCTGAGCACTTACTACTAGTGTCACTTGCCAAAGTGTCCAAACCTACACAGGGATACAAGTCTTTTATGTGTCTTGGCATTCCATCAGCCAGCATAGTGTGCAAGCTGCTGATTCCACTGATATGCCCGACCTGGTATAGAGGTGTACACTGGCTGTGTGGGGATCTTACCCACACATAGTAGCCCAAGTTGTATGCCATTCTTTCTTTTACTCATTCAGTTGAGTACATTGCATCAATACCTCTTAGCTAGACTTTGTACTGGTAAATCATCAAGCAATTGAGGGTGACATATCATCTTTAGGTTGGATTTGGATGTTTTGTTTTATGGCATATCAACCTCAGTGAGTCATTTAATGCGAACAAAATTTTTGAAATAGATACATAGCAATAGTTTGGTAAAAAAGGTGTGTATGTATACATATATATTTGAACCATTTTTCAATTACTCATATTTTTGAGTACAATCACATGTATTACTGGTAATTTTTTTTTTTCAAAAATGGTAATAGTTTGTTTTTTTTTTCAAAAATTAATTTTCTGGTAATAATTTTTTTCAAAGTATTTCTGGTATTAAAACCTATTTTTAGACTTTTATAAAATTCCATCAGTTGTAGAGGGTGGTGTCAAATATTCTTGAGAATTGTTAGAATATAAACCAATGGGATTAGCAAAAAAAAAAAAAAAAAAATGTATGTGCCAACAATAAGTTCAATCACAAATCCATGTTCTAAAAGTCCAAAAAGGCAAAGCAATCATAAACAGTCCAGCGGGCAAATTAATACCAAAAACGAGGGTCAAAAATCCAACCTTCCACTCACAACAGAAGAAATGCACTTTTGCTCACCACGCTACAAAATCACTCTCCCTTCATTAATCAAAGCAACAGCTTTTAATCCCAGAGCAATTTTTCTGATTGGCCAGGTGAGGAAAGAACAGTTCTTCTGATACTTAAAGTGGCAGCTTTTTGCTAATTTTCTTTATTTTTTCTTCAGCAGACCAAACACAAACTCTTTTTTTGAGGTTGGTGATTTTCTCTTTCGTTACACTCCCCCCACCCTGTCACATAGTTGACACACAGGGGCAGGCATCTTTAATTCTGAGCTTTCTTTGGAGCAGGACAATAGCTGGAGAAGATTGAATGGTATGTTCAGAAGACTTGTCTCCTGAGGAGTCCTCTGGTTTAACAACCTCATGCACAAAGTCTTCCCCCATCTGAAGAGATACTGGCTTTTTATTTATACAAGTTTTGTTAAAGACCAATGGAACTTCTTTGATTATTTTGCTTAATTTTTAGTTCCTGATTTTCTAGTGAATATTTGAACATTTTATTATTTTTATACGCATGTAGTAATTTTTAGCTGAGTCTGGTCATGTTGAACAAATTCTCATGTTTGAGCTGAATTTATGCTTAAAATATAACCCTAATAAAACTTGGAAATTTTTGTTATTTTCCCTAAATTGCATTAAAAAACACCTGTGTCTCTCTTCATGCTTAAAATATGCTTAAGTTTTAAACTAATCTGAGCCTGGTCCTGCTTATAAGCTTTAAACTAATTAAAAAGAAGATAACAGTGAATTGTCTGGTGACTGAGTACTTTCAGCCATTATCAGAGGTTTTGTTGATAATGTTGTCACTAGATGTATTATAGTTTTTGTGCTATGTCAATTTCATCTTTTTTTAAAAACTGCATCACTCAGAAAACAGTCTGCCTTATGTGAAGGGGTTATCAGAGAAAATACAAAGGATCTGCAGTCCATATAACATCAGGACAACTTTCAAAAGCTTGACGACACTTTGCAGATATCTCTCCTGATGCCCCCCATAGAGGAGAACATGACTAAAAACTGTGTGTATGCTATCCCGTGCAGCTGCAGAAAGAAACATAAAGGAGAGACAGGCTGCCCCCTTAGAGTAAGGTTCAAGAACACCAGAAAGCTGTAATACAAGGGGATGTGGAAAAATCAGGCATGGCTGACCACATATGAAGAGAGAAGGGAGATCACTGCCCCCTGTGGGATCAGGTTGAGATCATAGAGAAAGATCACCATTGGAAAATTCGTGACCTTAAGGAATCAGCACATATGGTAGGCCACAGAAATCTCCTGACCAAGCATAGAAATGAATACAATATGGGAACCAGTAATAAGGAGCGCTAGAGAAAAGCAATAATAACAACAAAAAATTGCAATATGAGCTCTGGTAAAAAAATTAAATGATAACAGCAAAAATTTCAATATGAGCACTGGTAAAAAATGGTTGCTGAAGACATTAGGTTTATAATACCCAGAAATTCATACACTGATGTCCTCAAGGCACAGTGGATAATGGTGTTAGTTAGATCCAGTGACAGAAGTGTGAGTTCAATACCTGGTTTAGGTAGTGGAGAACTTGGAGAGGGGACATTGTAAATAGCGTACATAATACCACATCTTAGAAATATAGACAGTTATTGTCGCGCCTCTTACGTTTTCTACACAAATCAGATGTTGACTGCTTGATGACCCAAATGTGTTTTCTGAACATTGGCTCACCGTATACATCCACTTTAACCAAAATAAAATGAACAATATCTTCTGACCAGTCAGAGCCACACCCGTTCAAAAAATTGGAACTTTAATTTAGAGCCGATCAGCAGCTATATACACTCAAATTCAAAGAGACCTGAAACAGACCAGCATCTGATGTCAACACTGGCACACTGAGAGAGACGCAGCACAGATCAACATTTGATGTCAACACTGGAACACTGAGAGAGACACAGCACAGATCAACATTTGATGTCAACACTGGCACACTGAGAGAGACGCAGCACAGATCAACATTTGATGTCAACACTGGCACACTGAGAGAGATGCAGCACAGATCAACATTTGATGTCAACATCGATGCACTTAGAAACACCACTGATGATGATGATGACAGACATCACTAATGTCCATTTCACTTCTAATTTCACCATTCTCTCTCCCTGTGTCTTAGCAACAGACAAAAGATATATGTAAATAGATTATGCATTTATTTACCCATACTCAATGTCTTCTTTTTACATGGATTTACATTTGCTGACGTGAAGAAGGAATTAACCTCACAACAGTAACAACAAGGTCCTATCTTCCAGCGTACACATTTCCGTCCAAGCAACATTTTATATATATATATATATATATATGCAAAAAGGGATAGAAATTATAATTTTAGCACTGGAAGAACTTTTTTTTCAGTCTATTTAAAAAAACAATAAAAACAATGATATCAAATGATTTCAATATATAAAAGAGGAAAAAAAATGATATTTGTACAGATTTTAAGGTTTTAAAATTTTAAATTACAGGCCCTGAGGTAGTTTAGAAATGGAAGGTGGTACAGACCTGACATTTTCTGCAGCAGTATTTTAAAACATGACAAGATGAACATGTCTTCAGTTTTCCAACCCTGAAAAGAAAAAGGAGAGAAAAATTAATTAAAAAAAAACAACAGAAAGACTTCAGCAAGAAAGTTTTAGATTGTTGTTGTTTTTTTTTTTTTTTTTGTGTGAAGGCAAGCCTGCTTGGGGCCCTGGAAGGGTGTGTTTCAGCTATGCTTTGTGGCCCTCCACCATTCCATCATTTATTTTTTCTACCTATGTTACATTGTCAATCATCAATTATAATATATATTGTGTATCTCTCTCTCTCTCTATATATATATAGATTTGTTTGTGACTTAAAGTTTCACTGTATTTGTATGAAAAAGAAATCCTACTCATGTCACAGACTACATAAACGAGATAGGTTATAAATATTTTTGCAGTGTTTTCTGTTTCAAAGGGTACCCCCCCCACACACACACCCTGGAAAATGTCTTACACATAAATTGGGATTTTAACAAAAAAAAATAAATAAAAAATAAAGCAGCAATTTCCAAAACTGTTAACTTAGCCAATGTTATCCAAAAAAATATAGTGTGTCTGTGAGCAATAAACTGAGAAAACCCGATATGTTGAATTGAATGAGTATTTAAAAAACAAAAAAAAACAGGTCCTTCCCCCTTAAAAGAATTTTGCTTTGCAGTCTTCCAGTCAGGGATTTTATCTTGTGCTCTACTCAAATAAATATCAATTTAGTCACGTTACTGTGAAGTATTGTTATTTTCTTGTAGCAAGATATTCTCTTAGAAAATGAAAGTTGAATATTATGAGTGGTAAAGAAAAGTAAGGGGGGTAACTCAATATTTGATAATTGTTTTGGGGTACAAAACTTTATTAATGAAGAAAATAAAAAGGCAGTAGTAGTAGTTTCCCATTGACTTCTTCACGGTTTCTAATTCAGATTTTTGTCCTCCTTCTAGATTGGTTGCCACCCAAGGCTTGAGAGTCCAGAGTTTACCCTGCTGAAGCGAAGAGATGAATTCACCTTTCCAAAGGGAATCTGCGTCATGTGAGCGCAAGAGTGGCCGATTTCCGTTAATTTTAAATGTACAATAATATTTACGTTACCTTGTCTCCCCACTGAGATGTGATGGGACACAAAGTCGGGTTTACTATGGGGAACCCGCGCGTACACCCTGCTGGCCAAAGACAAAAATTGCCTAGACCCCGCAACTGTCGGTTGTACTGGCCTTGACAACGACTACCGATCCCCCACTCTTAGTACAATGGGAAAGTACTGTTCTCCAGGACCGGGCACCTCGGAGTATTTATTTTCCCCCAGCTGCTTCGCACTTTGCTCGAAGACAGAGACACAACTGAGATGATACCCTACTCAGCATGTGCCAGGTATGTATAAATTTAAAATAAATGTAGTATAATAAAATTAATTAGAAACAAAAACTCATAGTTTTCGCATCACTCAAAGTCAAAATGTTGGAGCAAATTTTATTTATCCTCTCAATGGGTGAGCATTGATTTTTGAATAAATACACACACGTGCGCCCCCACCCAACCTTGTTTGTCGTCATTATTTAATAGGACTACGTTGACATTATTCAAAATATATCGATTACCTATCAAAACAATAATCACAATGTTCTCCACGCTTTTTTGAAGACAGAACATGGACATAAGGTAGTTCTTGACAAATGATTTCGCCAACACGTTTCTCCATTTTCAGTGTCTACAGTACATATTTTATGACTTTCTTATCTTTCTGTCAAGAGAGTTCCTTTGTTGCCGGAAATTGAGCCAAAAACGAAAACAACACGTGGATGTGCTCAGTGGTAGTGACAAGGACTGGAGGTTGTTTATCGCTCAAGTTATTTTCCAGTGGTTTAAGCTTATTGCTCATAAAAATGCTTCAAATTGAAAATGGAAATATTTGTTCATATCAATAGAATTATTTATAGATGTGTTGGCTGTATTTTAGATGAGTGTACACAGCTTTTTGCATACAATGAAAACATGAAGAAAAAACACAAGAAGATTTGAAATTTGATTTGAATTTTACTTAAGTTACGGCTGAATATTTGTCTCATTCATTAAATACTGGCGATATTTATCTGAAAGGCCGCTCGAACAAAGGCATCTGACCAATTTTCAAGTGATAGTCAAGCGTATGTACATGGACTAAGGGCAAAAAACTGCTCGGCAATTCAACTTTGGGGACGCCCCAGGTACCAGTGATTAACTCTAAAGCCCAGTGATTTTCAACCGGTGTTTCGTGTTGTGACGAGAGGATAGATGTATCGTTAAAATTTTTAAAGGTCATTAAGACGTCCAAAGCATAACAATTTGTACATATCAAAATAAAAACCCCTTTCAGTTGATTATGCGTTTATCATTGTTATAGTAAAAATAAAACGTATGCATAAAAAACAAGATTTTTTTTTCTGCAATAAAACAAAAAATGATCACAGCTAGAATCCTTGGAAGAAGATATTCTCAAGAGAATATCTTCTTCCAAGGATTCTAGCTGTGATCATTTTTTGTTTTTGACAAAAAGCGTCAAGCTCAGAAATGTTAGTTAAATTAAAGAGAAAACTAAATAAATATAAGTTTTTAAGAATTTTTATATTTCTAATATAAATTATTATAAATTTTGTTTGTGTCACTAAATAAATAAAACATACAGTTTGGTCCGAAAGTCTTGTCACACCTATAATTTTCTATTTCAGATTGCTGACTCGAGAATAGTTTGGAAAAGAGTTAGGTGTGACAAGACTTTCGGACCACCCTGTATACTCTTTTTTTATCATCAAAGTGTGTTGCAGAAGTTTAACTATAGTTCCAAGTGTGATGTGAGATAAAAAGGTTGAAAAACATTACTCTAGGAAATTCTCTTGTCCAGAATTTTATATTAACAATCCAATGGTCCAAATTCCAAACAATAATAAATAAAATAAAGAAAACATGGCTATGTCTGTTGTAGGTATCTCCACGAAATTCGAGTGCATCGGGTTTAGTGATTATAGTTAAAAGCACAAGGCTTTGAAGAATGCAAATGATGTTTTTTTTTTTTAATTGAATCCCACGTACCTGAAAATCAGCTCTGAATTGTAACATACAAAACTCAATAAAACAAATATATTATTTAATTTCAAATTTGTTTTGAGTTGTTTATGGATATGGACAATATTTCCTGAATGCAAAAACTTTTTTCAATGAAAATTGAATTTTTAATACAATTATTTGTTATTTCTTTAATTATAATAGATTTTTACATTAAGTTTTTTAAAAATATTAAGTTAAAGAAATCATTTGTATATACAAACATATGTACATAAATTCAAAAGAGTAAAAAAGGATTAAAAATAGTCTTTTGTTGAGTTAAAAGTCTTTGAGTAGTTTATCCACAGAAAAAAGCTGAGGTTGGCGAAAGACTTATCGTTAATGAAAATTCACTTTTGTTGTTCTGTCTTCATGTTTCTTTTAGCATACACTGTTAGAAGGGAAAAGCTATGTAATCATCTCTTCTCTTTGTCTTGGAGACAGCTGTATCTCTGCTCCCTGAAAGATGAAATCTGTGGGTTTTTATAAGAAATTTTGCCTGAAAGTATGATCAAGAAAAATAAGGTTTTAGTTTTTCTGATTGGTCAAATATTTCATATAGTGATGTTAATTTCTAGTCAATAGACACTTTGATTTAAACAGTGTGCATTTTATTGTGGAATCTTTTTGGCATGTTTGTAATATTGTCTGTTATTAGGTAGAAAATAAAGTTTGGATGCGTTTTAATATAGTATGTATGTAGGTATGTAAGTGTGTTGGAACTAGGGTTATTTCCTATAGTCTTACCTTTCTAGTCATTAAATACTGATATCAAATTATCAAATTTAGTAAAATGAACAAATTGGATCCAATTTGTAGCCCTCACATTTTTAGATCATATTTTATTTCTTCTTTTTATTGGAAATTATTAATAAAAATAAAATATCCCAACTGAGCGGATACCAACTCAGAATAAAATGTAATTATAATTTCTGGAGGAAGATTAAATTTACATAGCATTTAAAATGAATGTCATTATTAATCTTCAAAATTTCAGCTTTTAGACATGCATAGTTATTAAATTATTAGAAGTTATATACCTTTCAAGTAACATTCAAATAACATTCAATTAGAACTGAACATTTTTTTGTTAAATATTTGTGTACATTTATATGTCTACTGTCACTACTCATCAAATATAAATAAAAGAACAAGGGTCACTTTGATGTGGTGTAATTGTTAGCAAGCTTGGCTCACTAGGTCAATTGATCAATTATGACTGAGTAATGTGTTCGATCCTCATTGGGTGTTCTTTACTTTCGGCCTTGTGCCACATCTAAGGTTAGCTTAGTAAATCACTATAAGTAAAAGAACAATGCATCAAGTAGTCACTCTGAGTAGTAGATGGATATAAAAGTCAAAGTAGTAAGAAAATTATCAATCTTTGATCTTTAAGCCTGAAAAAAAGGATGGTTTTTCTCTCGACACTGCTATTATTTTAACTACCTTCACTCCTCAGCAATGTTTATTGTTTTAAAAAGCAGATGATTAGAATTGTAATAAAACCTAAAAATATGAAAGTGAATTTATACATTTCGTTTGTTCTTGAGAATTGGCAATATAATAATAATAAACACTAATAGATTCTTTATTTACACTATTTATTAGATTGTTTATTGGAATGGTTGGCAAAATATCAGCTAATTGCTGATTCAAACTTTATAAAATGGTAAATAATAAGGATTTTCTTATAGTTGGTTCTCATATTTTAATAAATTTTTATAAATTTATGAATAATAAATTGTTTTTATATTTATTTCTTTATAAATTGGTGAATAATAAATATTGCATTGCACTAGTTTTAATACAATTGTGTTCATTTTTAGATTGTTGTAAAGATAACATTTTTTTGTAAATAAACAATCTAATAAATAAATATAGTTTAATATTTTTGTTGTAAATTCTCAAAAGCAAAAACAATGTATAAATTCACTTTCATTGTATGCTTAGGTTTCATTCCAATTCTAATCACCACCTTTTAAAACAACAAACATTGCTGAGGAGTGAAGGTAGTTAAAATAATAACAGTGTCAAGGGAAAAACCGTCCTTTTAACACACTATTAAAGATTGCCTAAGATCATTAAGAAATCTTTGTGTGTCTAGTCTATTCTCTGTCATATGAAAACTGTCTTCATAAGAAGATCTCCTCTTCTTATTCAAGTAAAAGTAGTAAGAGGAGTCATTAACAAATCTTCTTGTGTGTAGTCTATTGCCTGTCATATGAAAACTGTCTTTTATATATATATATATATATATATATATATATATATATATATAAAAAGAAATATAGTCTTAAGGTATGCTATATTTATGGAATAAAGTGCTCAATATCAGAGATAGAGCGTGTAAATATCTAAAAGTGAACATAGAAGTCAACACTTAGAGGCATATGGCATGAAACAGACTGTCGCCTCTAAGTGTTGACTTCTATGTTCACTTATATATATATATATATATATATATAATCAGTGATTTTTTCTCTCATCCTTGAATAACAACACCAAATAGCTTATCTGTAAATATGAAAGGATCCAATTGAATATAAGTAGACAGATCATGTCTAAATTATTCAACAAAATATGTCTCCATGAAAACATGCTGCCAATATATATATATATATATGTATGTATATATATATATATATATATATATATATATATATATATAGCAGCATGTTTTCATTGAGACATATATAATTAATACAAATATATTGTCATCCACAGACAGACTGTTTCGCTGTATGACAGCTCATCAGTGTGGCTAGACGTCCAGTTGCCTCTAGCTAGGATCGAAACCCAACTGAATTGGCGTCAGTCGGAGATTCTACCACTAAACCATTGGCACACGTCAGGGATGAAGGCGAATTTAAGCATATTTATACACACAGTGACTGAGAGAACTCAATTTGATTTAACAAAGAGTCTTGCATTATTAGCCGTAATAGTCACTGTTTACAAACCCACAATTCCTCCCCAGAGAGCTCAACTGAAATAAATTTTTCAGGAGCATATAGTTAGTTACTTAGCTGATTGGTGTTATCTTCAGCATCCCGACTCTAGAGTTTTGTAGACAGACCCTCCAGCGATCACTCCATCCACTCGTCAGTGGGTATCAGCTATTGACTTTATATTTCTCATTTTTCTTTTTATAAGAACTTTTAATTGGCACAAGGATATTTTTTGTTTCTTTTCATTGTGTATGTATGTTTGTGCACACGTGTATATATATATATATATACATATATATATATATATATATATATACACACACACACACACACACACACACACACACACACACACACACATATATATATATATATATATATATATATATATATATATATATTCTTATAAAAGGTACAAACTTCATGAGGTAATAATTTATTTCATTATGGTCGTAAAAATGGCCCCTATTCATCAGACTGTGCCATTTATAAGAATAATTATTGCTCTGTTTCTAACATAGAGCTCTTCCTGGATTTATATCCTTTTGGAAATATCCATATGGATCACTAATATTATCATTATATATGCCCCTGGAAAATTTAATCCCGGCCAAACATTCTTGAGAGAAAGCACACATTTGTAAACAATGACTAATACTGCAAAACTCTTCTATGAATTGAACTCTCTCGGTCATTGATGTGTTTTTTTTGAAGAATAAGTATGTAAAAATCTGCCTTCCTCTCTAACAGGCACTGATAGCTCAGGGATAAAATCTCCAACGAATTCAGTCAGGTTTTGATCCTGGCTTGAGGCAATATGATGTATAGCCACACTGAGGAGCTGTGATACGGCGAAACAGTCTGTCTGTGGATGACAATATATATATATATATATATTGTATTAATTATATATATATTTTGGCAGCATGTTTTCATTGAGACATGTTTTGTTGAATAATTTAGACATGTTAGTGGATAAATGTTTTTGTCCACATGTAAAAATCTTGATATTGAGCCCTTTTTTGAATTAATGCTGTGAACATTAGAATTTACATTATTCTTGTTCTCATTACATCTGGATGTGTGTGTGTATATATATATATATATATATATATATATATATATATATATATATATATCCACAGCAGATAAAATTAGAAAGATTTTAGAGTTCCATTTCTAGGAACCAATAAAACTGTCAAAATGACAAAGGGTATTCAGAGCAGCATGAATCCATCCAGCTCTTATCACAAATAACAACTAAAAAGAGACTGTTTGACCAACACAAGGACTGACCCAAATTCATGTTAAAAAAATAAAAAAGCAAATGAAAACTACAAACAAAAGTTCATTTTCTCCATCAAGACATTCATTTCTGTAGTTTACTGCTACCAGCAAGCAGAATTTTTTTTCTCCTGGTGATAGCCATGTTGGCTGAAACTATTTGAGGAATGAATGAAATAATAATAAAAACAAAAGAATATTAATATACAACCCAGTGTCTGAAGATTTTAATTTTTTAATATTTTTTACTCTTCAATATATATATATATATATATATATATATATATTCCAATTTCTTTTTGAATTTGTAGGTCTGATGAATTGGATTGTGATTATGATTCCAGTGTAATAAATTATAACCACAGAATATTAGTGTTTGAGCCTTTTATATTATATTCTTGCTCTGTCCTGGACATTGAGCTCTACCTGGATTCCATCCTCTTAGAAATATATATTGACCACTAAGATTAACTATATTTAGTTTTATCCTTAAAATTGCTCTTTTTGTGATCATCTAATTTATTTTTAAAATGAGAGTGAAAGTTGAACACAAAAATAAAAAGTTATTTTTAAAAAAAAAAGTAAATTTTGTAGCCAACTAAATTAATTTTTAGGTCAAATAGAAGACAGAAGGTGTCAGTCACCTTTGTTTGACCAGGTAGAACGGAGTTAACTCCCTTGGACACTTCTCCGTTGTGTTTACAAATGTGCCATGTCCTCTTCTTCCTGTATGTTGGCCGTCGATGACCCTCTCTTTTTTACTGGAAATAATTCGCGTCGAATTATCCCCAACCTAACATTTTTGCCTCGAGCAGCCGTGGAACAACAAAGAAAACTGTTTTTAACTCCTAAACCGGACATCTGATCCATTTTTTTTTTTTTACCGTGGGTTTGTTCAATCTCTTTTTTTTTTATCCCAAAATGTCCAAGATCTGTCGACTATGTTGTTGTGGGGTTCATATTATTATCAGGGTTATTCATACAGCCATTGTTTTGGGAGTACCAATCACCCTGATCACTCAAGATACAGGTTAGAAAACTTCTTTTTTCTTGCTTTATTTGATACCAATTTATTTATCCATGTTTTTTTTGTGAATTACAACTTAAAGTTAATGTTTTCATAACTTGCAAGTGGCCATTTTGGGCATCGTATTGTTGACGTCATTTATTTTCATTTAAACCACATTTTGAAAAAAATATTTTCGTAAATTTTACTTTTGAAAATTGAAAAGAAACATTTTAAAATATTTTCTTTAAAGTCATTATAAAAATTTATTAATATACTCGACTAATTATAGCGAATTTGTCTAGATATCTGTTTGTTTTCAGAAGTTTTTTGTTTAATTTTGAAAATAACATGCAAAAATACAAATCAAATAAAAAAATATCCAATGCGAATTTGTAAATTTTTTTTATTTAATTTAAGTAAAAGTTGTGAAAATTCACATTATTTAAAAAAAAATTTTGGGGTTCGATTATTGTTAGAAATAATTAATTTTTTTTAAAATTAATTTTTCTTTTATCTTCAAAAGTACTTTTTCTTAAAATTCTTCCAGTCACATGAAATTTTTGTCAAAGTTATTTTTCTTGTAGACAAATAAATAAAAAATATATCTTTGTTTTTTTTTCCGTTTCCACACATTTTAGACACGAAATAGTTTTTTTTTTTCATTGCATATCCTATTAGTAAATAATATAGTAACTTTTTAATTTTAACTTTGGTAACTTTTGCGAACATTTTTCAAAGTTTTCTCCTGCTTAAAGTAAACTGACAATGACATGTATGACATTTTTTCAAAATATTATTATTATTATTCATTTATTTTTTTGGTGTTTGATATTTTCTCATAAAAATATTAGAAAAGGTCGGGGCAACTAAAAATAAAGACATAATAATCATAATGAAGAGGATTCAAGAGAGTGATATAGAAAGGAAAAAAAGAAACAGATAATTTTGCCCCCTCCCCCATTTGCATATTTCCATAAGGTAGGCCTGAATGTAATAAGCGGAAAGAAACTGACCATTTTTTGTTGAATGGAGAAAAAAAAATAAAGGTTGGATCATAGTTTGCAGTTTCAAACACTGAAAAACTAAAAGTCAAAATTTTGCCCCCCACCTCAAATCACCACGGATTTTTATTTATCTTTTACTTATGTTCTTGAATTTTTACTAATATAAAAAAAAAAAAAAACAACAAAAAAACAAAAAAAAAACAACAAAGAAAATATTAATGTTGATTCTCTTTGATTGAAAGAGTCATTCAATTTAAATTACATTACAATTTAAATGAAAATTTTTATTGAAGGGAAATATTGCCTACAAGCCAAAACAGCGCCACTCTCAACAAAACCAATTTAATTTAAATAATTTGAACCTAAAACATATTTTCTTTGTTCATTCATGTTTGCTGGTCAATCAATAAACGATTTTTAAAAAGTTAAACGTAGAAACTCAGCTTAGTCTGACACAAGGCCTACAATATTAGGTCACTCAGTGAGAAAAGAATCCACTCTCAATAGCCTGAGATAGATAGATACCTGTTAGTGTTACTAGCCATCACCTCACACCTCCATGAATGGCGCCCCATTTTTAGCTTTTAAGGAGCTCCCCAAATAAATGACGTGTAAAGTGCTTTAAAATAAATAAATAAATAAATAAAAAACAATTGTGAGCATTGTTTTCCGTTTCTTTTTTAATCGTTCGCCAATTTATTTTTAAAGAAAATATTTTTTCTAATTGTTTCGTTTTTTTTTAAAATAGGATTTCGAAGATTTTTCAGAAGTGCGTGAAAAAGCGGTCTTTTCAAAGTTAAACTTGTAATCACGCACAGGGAGTAATTCTCTCTAGAATGTAATAATCTAATAAATTAAATAAATATCTTTGTTCTTATAGTAAGAAGGGTATTGGCCATCTTAATAAATAATAGAACTTAGTCACTCAGTTTTTACTGGATGAAGTGAAATTTTATATTATTATTCCACAATTCTGTGTGTTACTGTTCCATCAAAACCTGATTTTTCATGTTTAAATGAAATCTGAATATTTTTAATTTTATTTCTACTTGTTTCATGACCGATTCTAATTCCAATAATCGATCATTTATTATTTATTTTTCTCTCTGTCAGACATCATTAAATGTTATTGGCAATGCCGACTGTAAAATAAGGCGTAGTTATGGTAACTGATTAGTGATTAATATCCGTTCTGGCTCAGTGGTACCAAGGATGCGTTATTATTATTTTTTTTGCGTGACTCGTTTTCACTTTTGTAATCTCTACATTCTGTTTACCTGCAAATTAAGCGTAATAAAAAAAAAATAAATAAATGTAAAAATAAAAACAATAAAAATAAAAAATAAATGCAAAAAGTAAAAAAATAAGTAAATGCAAAAAATAAAAAATAAGTAAATGCAAAAAATAAAAACAAATAATAAATAAATATAAAAAGAAAGTATAAAAGGTTAAAAAAAAATTCAATTTCTTTTTCTGTGCCTCTAACCATTATAGCACCTGCACATTCAATAATATGAATGTAAAATATAACTCTAGGAAAAGTGTTTGGATTGTAGAGGATTTGCACTCAAATGATCTCCACTGATGTCCATTATGTAGATCTGAATTTCCAATGATTTGCACCCACCTCCTACTTTTTATTTTCTAATGTGTAGATTAGATAGTTTGATAACTGATTTTTTTAATTTCCTTTTATCATTTCACCCAAGAAAGGTAATAAAAGCAAACTACGATGTAAGGAGTTACCGAGTATTTGAGAGAAAAAAAAAACATTAAGGAGTGAGGACAATAAAGGGTTAAGAATTAGGAAGACAAAATATAACATTTGATATTGCATTTAAATTTTTAAAGATCAAAGTTAATTGAGAAGCAAGAAGGCAAAAGAGTGCCACATGCGAGAAGTGCAATAGAAGAAACTATTAGCATAGAACTTATGGTTACATCTAGCCATTTCAACTGATAAATGATGAGACCTTACTGCCAATCTAGTGCCATGATTAAATTCCTAAAGTCTTGGTACCAGAGAGGAAATTTCATCAGAACAATTACCATGAAATGTTTATAGAAATGGCACTGGTAATTTACATTATAGTAGTTGGAAAGTGACTGAAGTTGAGATGCCAGGTCAGAACCAATAACATTGCAGATTCTTCTATGGATTTCATCAAGAATCTCTAAATATATAGCCAGAGCCACAGGCCAGATGTGGCAGTAGTATTCAAAGCAAGGACAAATGATAAACTTGTAAATTTAGTAAGAAAAATTGTCTAGCTCAACACAGTATACTTACTTTGCTAGCAGTGTACCTAGTGATTGATTCAATATAATCTTTCCACAACATGTCAGCAGAAAACGTTAGTCTGAGAAGATGCAGTTAGTCACTCTCATGGAAGTTAGTTAGCATTAGCAATGTTGTTAAAAGGCAAAAAAAGGTTCTCTCAGCCAATTAAAAGAGAGCAGTTTTGTGACGAAAGACATGAATTACCTCAGAATTCGAAATGAGTGTGAATATGTCTTGCCTGCAAAGTGATGACAAAAAGAAATATGGCCGCTATTGAAGATGCAATTTATGCGCACATATCTCATCCCTAACAAGATGATATTTGCACACATGCAAATTTTGGTCGTATTGGAATAGCATAAAAAAGCAGGGTGCTAGCAGCACGACAGAACCGAAGTCATTCAGTGGACAACGTGCAATAGAGCTGGACATGTGGATTGATAGACGGACAAAGAGGAAGTCAAAGTAGGCGCAGCTGAGCTGGTGTCTGTTTCACAACTGCCCAGTGTAACTGCTGAGAAAGGGAGCCACGCAATCCATTTCCTTGAAGTGACCGAAGAAGAAGAAAAAAAAAAATAGCCGGTCTGCCGGCAAGTACCGTACTGCACATTTTTACCCCCCCTCTCATCATCATTTTTCCCTACATGTTTAGTTTTGGGGGTGTTGAAATGAACAAGATATTTCTTTAGATTATAGGTCATTTTTGAGATTAGCCCTATACAGTGAGCCAACTTTCCTAGTTACAGACTTAGCAACTGATTCAATATAATCTTTCCATTTCATGTCAGCTGTAAATGTTAGCCCCGAGAAGACACAATGAGTCACTCTCCTGGAGGTTAGCATCAGCCATATTGTTGAAAGGCAAAAAAAGGTTCTCTCAGATGATTAAAAGAGAGTAGTTTCTTTTTTGTAGACATAAAAATTAACTGTTAAGTTATTCTTGTTGAGAAGCTAGCACAGTGTAAAAAAAGAGTTTTCAAATTTTAAATAACCAGGTTAATATTATTTTCTCTTATTTACTAGCTGTTTATATAAGCTGTGATATAATAGGATAAAAATGTATTGTCAGTGGTCAGGAATTGATGTAAGTATTACTGACAGAATAATTCTAGTATATGTGTACTTCATACTAGTTGGAAATTGACAACTCAGATTATCCATTATCTCATGCCTCTGGTCTTTTCTCATCCTTTGCCTGTATCTTTTCAGTCTCTCCCTTATCTTTTTCGATCTTCATTGACATTCATATTATTTAAATGTTATACATAAATTAGTTTTGCATGTGTAGAAAGGCATAGATGCTGTGCAAATATCTTTTACTACAACCTCTCTTATCTCTTTATAAAAATCTTGATGTATCACAATTTTTATGTCTCTATTCTTATCTGCTTTTAAATCTTTTGTTCATTGTGTCTTGCCATTTCATCAGGAAAGCCTCTCTATCTCTCATCTCAATCCTTTGCAACTGTGTGTGTGTGTGTGTGTGTGTGTGTGTGTGTGTAGATTTTATTATGCAAGGCAAAATTTTTACAATAAAATTAGTATTAACCAACTGATGTTGATCAATATTTTTCATATCGGACATCATCTATTTATGTAAATAAGCAGAGTTAGCATAAGGTCAATTGCTAATTGTACCTTTGTGTAGACCAGGGGTTGGCAACCTTTTGCTATCCATGTGCCGACTTAGTTTTTAAAATCATTCAGTATGCCTACCTATTCTACAATATATTTTA